TTAATTTTCAAGACGATCCTTCTGCTTCAAATTAAATTTTATTATTCTAATTTGTAAATATTTATTTACTTTATAATTTCTAATTTGTATAGTGTTTATTATAATTTGTAATCTTGTATAGACTTTGTAAGTTCATCAAATTTGTAATTCATCCCACAATGATTGCACTCTTTTTTCCTTACCAAGTTTTTATCCCAATTGGGTTTTTCTTGGTAAGGTTTTTAACGAGGCAATCGTGAATTACAAATTTAAAAATCAATGAAGAAGTAATTTTTTTTATATAGTTCGTGTGTTCATTTCAAATTTCAAATTGTAATATACACATTGTAATTATACAAATACTTATTACTTATTATAAAACATAAAAATATAATATAAAAAAAAAAAAATTCGGGCAGCCGGTCGGGCATCGGGCAGCCCGATTGGGCACAGGCAGGCATCCTCTGCCCGAAGCCCGTCCATGGGCAATTTTCAGGTCGGGTCGGGCAGCCCGAATTTTTGAGCATTTCGGGTTTGGTCATTGGGCAAAAATTCAGACTTTTCGGTGGTCACGGGCGGCCCGTCTAAAGTTTCAGCACTATGTACAACATAATCCCGGTGCACAACCTGCTCGCAGACCACCCGTCGTTGCGGTACCCAAAGGTTTGAGCCGCGGCGGCGGCACTACAAGCCGTGGGAACCTCCGTCGGCCGCCATTCGCGCAATGGCTCCCTCACATGAACCTCCTCGATTGGCTCGCCCTATTCTTCGGCTTCCAAAATGATAGCGTTCGGAACCAGAGGGAGTACCTCGTTCTCCACCTCACCAATGCCCAGATGCGATCAATTTCTCAGGTTCGTCTTCCGATTTCCACCGCTTTTGTTTCAAAAACTACTTTCACTATTGCTTTAATTTTTTTCTTTTCTTTTTCATCCGAAAAACAGTTTCAACAAAAATCAAATTCGGCTTTGTGTTCCATGAGTTTTCCGAGCTTCATCTATGGTATTTGTGTGTTTCTCTTTTGTTTTTTAATGGAAAAAGGGAAAAAAAAAAACATTGATAAAGGAAATTGCTGGTATTATTTTCCTTTTTTCCCTAAAAATATTTTCCCAATGATGCATGGAATGTGAAATTTTCCTTTTTTGTGGATTATTTGATGGAAGATTTGGAATTCAAAAGGGTAGTTTTTCTGTTCAATTTTATACAATTCTCACCGAGCAAAAACAGCCGCATAAAGGGTCGTAGTCACAGTAGAAGGAAAATCGAGTAACTATGCATTAGATCCAAAAGAAGAAAGAGAAAAGTTAGAATTTTATAATATGGCAATGGAATTGAGCAAGATTTTAGGATTACATTGATGAGAACACGGGTAGATTGTGGTGCTGAAGAGTGTTGTTGCCGCAAGGTGGATTGTGATTTTTGGGGTGTTTTATGCAAGGATTTGGACACAGAGGAATAATGATAGGAGGTGGTCGGCCGAGGCGAATTGGAGGGTGGTGACTTTTCTTCAGGTGGTATTGGTTTTTGTTCTCCCGGATATTTTCAACACCAAACGCAGTTTCAGTTTTTTTTGAAACTGAAAACAATCTCAGAATAAAACTACCAAACGCATTTTCAAAAATGATTCCAAAATGAAAATAAAAACGTTTTCATTTTCATTTTCATACAAAAAATAAAAATATTTTAGAACCAATTTCAAACGCATCCGTTATTTCGCATCTTATTTTTTTATCAAACTTTTTTCTTCTTCTTTTCTTCTCAAAATTGGAAGGATTAAAATTTGGTGGGTCCCATGAATTTTTATTTTTCTTCCTTCCTCATTTTTTTCTACCAAATAACCTAAAATTTTATTTTTCTCTACAAAATTCTTCATCTATTTTCTTTAATTTCTCTTTTCTACCCTACCAAAAACACTATTACTGTTTATGCTACAGTATTATGAACAATATCTTTCCCATTTTACCCCCAATTTCTCTTCCCGCATTGGTCCACTAACACTTTGGGAGGGGCCCACGGTCGCACTACGGATACAACCACGTGTCAATTCGATATCTTGAGCTTGAAGATGGTCCAACACGTCTCCTTTCCAACTAAAACCTCAATTCCATTCGCAAGAAACGGTATCGTTTACTAATGAGTTTCTTGCTAATCTAATGAACCTGGACATGTCTAATATTGTCGTTTCCTTAGACAAAGAACGGGCAATTTCGTCTTTCCATAATCTTCATCACACACACACACACACACATATAAAGAGGTTCTTAGTTCTACAGGATTTTCAATTCAGCAACCATAAAAAAAAAAAAAGATTTTCAATTCAGCACGCGTTTCTTCAAAGCAAAGTCTCGAAGTCCCAACAACCATGGTTGCCCCTGAGAAGGTACGGATGTTTGTTCTTCGCTTTCCGTTTGTTTATCGAGAAATTGTTGCCACTTGAACGCATGTTCTCGAAACTTTTAGTTTTCTCGCGCTGGATGTAGGCAATTGATGTTTTCATTCCATAAGCATGGGAGCTTCTGAAATCGATTGGTGCAAAATCAGAATTTTTATTTGAAGTTTGTTTATGAAATATAAATTAGGTTATGGAATTCGTTTTATTTTGCAACTTTTTTTTTTTTTTTGATAATTGATAAATGTTTTTGGAGTTTGTTTGATTGTTGAAAATTGCTATTGTGATTAGTTTGTGTGGTTAGCTATTTGTGATTTTTTTGTTGATTAATTTACTATTTTCGGAAGTTTGGTATTAGTTTGATTAGTTGGTATTTGTTGTCAATTGGTTTTGTGTAATCGTTTGAATATTATTAGAAGTTCATATTTGTAATATTTCTTTGATATTTGTGAAATTAGTTTGATATTTGTTGGAAATTGATACGATAATGATGTTGTAAAATTTTTGGACTATGTAATTTCTGCCTTCATATTATGACCTATTTTGGACTTAAATGTTATGTTCATGTTTGTGACTTACTTTGCAATATATAACGCATCTAAATATACATTGGTTTAGATATTTTCCTATGTAGTATGCTACTTTAGTGGATGGAGAACATCTCTCATCATTTTCAAATATTACAAGTGTAAATTGTCCAACAATATTATTAAAAAAGAGACTTTTGAAGAAAAAGGGAACAAGAAAAGGGGGAAAAAAAAGGACCTCTTTCGTTTCATTAGAGTGAAAATTATGGTTACAAGTTCTTTTTTTTTCCCGATAATAAACAAAGAACCTTTTATTGATAACAAATTGAATCAAAACATATTGAGCACTGATGTGGACTTTCTTCCTATTTACCGAAACAAGTATACATGATCATATGCAAACATAGAATACTTGATCTTGACTTGGATTTTCATGTTCTGGTTTAAACTTTTTCCATTCCCAGCCAAAAGTGGATTTTTATTTTTTAATTTTGTTTCTCATGCTTTCAATATCTACAGGATCCCAGAGAGGAAGTCATTCAAGCATGGTACATGGATGACAGTGATGAAGACCAAAGACTTCCTCATCATCGCAACCCAAAAGAATATGTGTCTTTGGAGCAATTGGATGGTGAGTATCTTTTCTCAATATGCTGCTTAATGAGGCTATTAATTTTTCCAGTGTTAGAATATTTGTTGCAATAACTTAATGTCTCTTCAGAACTTGGAGTACTGAGCTGGAGACTGGATGCTGATAACTATGAAACAGACGCTGAATTGAAGAAGATTCGCGAAGAGCGTGGATACTCCTACATGGTTTGTTAGACCAACTCATTTTTTGATTTGTTTCATTTTTGCTGTTGAGAGATGTGGTAGAATCAAGTTTGTAGTTTGTCTTTTATGAAAATGTTACCTAAAAGAAGATCTTATTATTTTATATATGAATTTAGTAATGCCTAAACAAACGACTTGAAATGCACTTTTTATTTAGAAAAGCATTTATTTATTTATTTTTTAAAGAAAGTTGAGATCTAGGTTTGATTGATAGCTGAGTATTCTCAATGCGTCACCATCTCTCTCTCTCTCTCTCTTTGTGCACTTAAGAAGAAGTTCAGATCTTTGTTTGATGGTTGAGTATTTTCACACTTTCTAATTTGATTAGATGGGCCATTTTGTTTTCTAGGATTTCTGTGAGGTTTGCCCAGAGAAGCTTCCAAACTATGAAGAGAAGATTAAAAACTTTTTTGAGGAACATCTTCACACTGATGAGGAGATCCGCTATGCTGTGGCAGGAAGTGGTATGATTCATCATTCATCATTTTGCTTGTTAGTCATCCATTCGCCAGTACTTCCAATTGTTAATTGCTTCCCCCCTTTTTTTCAAAGGTTATTTTGATGTAAGAGATCGTGAAGAACGCTGGATCCGTGTTTGGTTGAAGAAAGGGGGAATGATTGTTTTGCCAGCTGGAATTTATCACCGTTTTACTCTGGACTCAAACAACTATATCAAGGTATTTTAGTGTTGCATGAGTTAGCAGTTCAGCTGTTACATGCTGATATTATGAGTTTTGATCCCCTTCCATCTATATTTTACGCACACATATAATGTGCCAAAATAAGGTATATGCATGATATTGTACAACTCGAGAACTTTTTCTGTTCCTTTTCTTTCATATTTGGTAGGAATTGGCCATATTGTTACACATTATCTTTAAAACTTCAGAGCAACATGGAAGATGCTGGTTAGTTGAGTTGCTAATAAAATCACATAGTACAGAAATCTAAGGACCTGGGATCAACTCCTGCCTTTATCAGGGTGGATAGGGATATTGGGTAAAATAGAGGGTTACGTCTTGTTGTCAAGCCTGCGAATCTAGGCAAAAAAGGAAAAAAAAAAAATGGATATAGAGAGACAAGGAAAATTGAGCATGAAATAGCAATGAGCTCTTTTAGAAAGGAAAGATAATTTGTTCAAGTTCAAGAAGATACATAGCCATAGATTTGGAATCACGAGTAAGTTAGAAAGCTGTTCCGTCCACAATCGTTCATATTATCTTTGCGTAAAATTTCCTCAAGTAGAACTTGTAATGTGGGGCGCCTTTGTGGCACAAGCATCGCACTTCTTAAAACGATGTAGCTTGTTTACCAAATTACTGAAGTGCGTACTAAAGGATCACAAAATGCATTCTGCAGGCGATGCGGCTATTTGTTGGGGACCCAGTCTGGACTCCTTACAACCGTCCCCATGACCATCTTCCTGCGAGGTATGGCTCTTTGCTTTCCTCCTGTTTAAAACATCCCGACTTCCGTGCATGTTATCGACTGGCTGCCGGTCGACTCTGTTTCGCGAACCTCATAAAAGTATCTATTTTGCAGGAAGGAGTATGTTAAAGCTTTTGTTCAAAAGGAGGTCGGTGATGCCATTGATGCTGCAGCTTGAAATCTATATACGGAATAGTATAACTTTATGGAATTGATATAATATATCTATATATGTTATGATATGCTCGTATTGGGTACTTGGCTTACCTATGGGGCTTGTTTGTGTTTCTGTGGCATACCCTACAAACCTGGCAACAATAATGTGTTGTAATAAATGTCAGATATCCATGTTTTGTGAATAGTTGGTACTCTGTCTTATCCATAGTTGAATGGTTTCTCTGCTTTATTTTGACTCCGCTTCTTGCAAGTTGAGTGCGCTTGGCTGTTAATTATTTACCAATTACCACACATTATCCTCCTCGCATCCTCTCTCCTTTGTATTTGAATTAATTATTCAATGAAACGATTTTCTTATTTAAAAAAAATTATTTGCTATACATGACTGGAAGTAACGGATATATGCATTCGCATAAAAAAGAAAAAAACAAGAAATAATATCCTCTTAATTTCTTTTGAAATTAAATCGAAACTAAAAGGCTCGGTAACCCCGTAACCTAGTTGGACTATGTTGAACTTGCATAAATACAAGCTACAGAGAGACTTTGTATTGGAGAGAGATATTCAAGTAGCATTTCGTGGAAAGTTTTTTAGTGGGTATGTAAGTTTTTTTCAATGTATTTAAGGGGCTCAAATTCAAGTTATGATTATGCTATAGTGTTTTTTATCTCACAAAGAGTTTAAATTCTAAAATTTCCTCTCACACAAATTTCCTACCAATAAATCCAAATCTTAATTTGAGTATATCTTTCAAACGAGACTTTAGTTTCGAGTTCAAGTCTCAGGAATAGTAAATTTTTAAGTAGCATTTTGAGAAGCAACTATGTGCCTAGCCGGCGGCATTGCCTGCGGGCTGCAGACACAAAAAATGGAGAGGATTCTGCGAAGTGTGGATCATAAAAGATTACTTGCGGTGTGTTTTTGAACCAACATGCATATATATCAACAATTACTTAATTCTAATCAGTTAGTGCAGTATAATTTCTAACAGTTAAATTTTTATTAATAATTGTTAAATTATTACGTTTTTTTCAATTTAATATGATTTAACAGTTCAAAATTACGATAAGGTTTTATCAGTAAATTTTCCATATCTTGATTTATTTCTATTTAACAGTCCCTGTCAAATATTTTCTTATAGAGGAAAAACTGCCATGCCAAGAGTCTTAACAGTTGCAGCTTCCTGAGTGTTCCTTGGTTGGAAGCTGCTGGTCATCACTTTGAGGGATTAAATGATTAATTCAAAGGGGGATGACAAAGAAACCAGATCTCATTATGATTTACAGATCTTTACTGCAATAATTTGCTTCAAAAGCACTATATTATAGTATATTGTATTATATAAGTAAAGTCTGAAGTTCGGTGCTCGTACAATTTCGTATTAATTTTTGAATAACATAATTTATATGTGTATAACACTTAATTTATTTAAGTGTAATACTCTGTGTTACATGTTTTGAACTATACTTTTAAGCATCGTTCACTTTGTGAATTCGAATTTTCAATTCGAGTTGAGATATGATATTTTTTTAGAGCTTTGTACTGCAACAGAAAAAATTAAATGTGACATTTTATGAGAATTTTTTACTGTAAAAATTTAAAATTAAAAACTCGAATCGATAGAATGAACGAGCCATTAGTGTTTCACTAAAAAAGACTGAATATTAGATCCATAAACGAATGATTTGATACGAGAGTACGTAGAGTTGTATTTACTGATTCGAGTGACAGAAGATTTCTATATTATAATAAATAGAAATACCAAAGTCTTTCCATAAAGTTGGATTTGGACCCATGTCACGCTTTTGAATCCCATTGGTGATTGCTTTTTTTGAAAAATGTTTTTGTCGGGTATATTATGTGCGGTTCTACGCTCCTCTAAAGGGAAACCCCCTTATTAAAATATTATATATATATAACATATATATATATATATATTTGTTTGTTTATATTGCTTATCAATTAGCTTGTCTTCCTCCTTGCAACTTCATTGGTTCTGGGCCACCAAATATCCTACCTTTGGATGCTCTTTTTATGCTTCTTGCCAATAAACTATAATTAATGTATTAATTAATTTAATTGACGTTTAAAATGAGAAAAAAAACCAGTTATATTTTAAAGAAAAATATTATTGTTTTCTTGACAAATTATTATTGTTTTTTGGGTTCAAGGAAACATGATCAGAAAAACTTATTGGTTGTGTTTGGAGTTGTTTTTGTTTATATTTTTCACATTTTACGTGAAAAAAATGAAAACGGAAAGAAACGACGTTTAGTACAATTAAAGACAAAAAACAAAAATAAAAACAATTTTTTGGTTTAGTGTAAATTGAGAGATAAATGAAAAATGACTTTTCATTTTTTGTTTCCGTTTTCTCCTCTCTCGAGTAGAGAGAAAGAGAGAGAGACATTTATGAATTTTTTATATTGATAACAATCCCTTGATAAAACTACTAAACGCATTTTTAAAAATAATTTTTATTTGAGATTGAAAACATTTTCATTTTCATTTTCATTTTCATACAAAAAAAAAAATACACTCTTATTACACAGTCTTGCTCTTCTGACATATTTTTCTTTTGAAATGCACATATATATAGATTTTTTTTTTCTTTTCCCGTTTGAGTAAAGATTCCAAGGTTATATTCCATTCGAGATTCTGCGCCTGATACCATAACTTTCAAATCAAATCGGGCAAACAGAGCATTTTCTGTTATAACTTCGCCATATCTCAATATAGTGAAAATACCATTTTTGAAGTGATTATATGATAGGGGAAAAAAAAAAAAAAAGAACTACTAAAATTAAGGTCATTAGCTAATGGCTATTTTTTGACAAAAGCCGTAAAATTTTAAGTAAATGAGATTAATTTTAAGCCCCATCTATCGTTTAAAAAATAAGATGTATTACAGTCTTGCTCGGATATTATAACTTCCTAATATATATTGAAGATCATTTTGAATAAGTTCTATATTGTAATATGCATATATATATATATATATATATATTGCTGATTAATCTTGTAAGAACTTGTGGTGACATATAAAAGTAGAAAACTGCTTTTATTTTTTTTGGCTGAAAACGGACTCAAAGTAGAAAACTGCATTTGTTTTTTTTTTTTTTGTTATTATACCCTTTTAAACAGATAATTACATAAATTATATATCTTTAACATCTTAATATAAAGTTTGATTCTTCATGAAACACCGAAATCTTTTCCTACATATTTACCTGCCAATGAATAGTTGACACTTTCTTCTATCTTGTTTTGATAGTGAATCTATTAGATTTATTACACTTGTGAAATATCTCAGGGTCCGTTTAGTTTGTTGATTCGAGTTTTTAATTTGAGTTAAAATGTAACTTTATATAAAAAATTTTTACTGTAATAAAAAAGTTAGATGTTACTATTTCTGAGAACTTTTTATTATAATAAAACTCAAATTGTTGAAATTAACGAGGTTTAACATACCACCCAAAAAAAATGAATTGATGGGATGCATTGGCAAGAATTTGACAATACCGACGGTAATTTTTCATTATTTGTTACCAAAGCTTTTGGTGTTTGAGATGCTCAAAAGCTTTAAGCATCCAGTTCTCGTGGGTAAATTGTGTGGTAGTTATTTTATCACATAAATTGTGCAGTAATTAGTAATTCCAATAATTTGTTCAAGTGGCAGGTGTATTAAGTGGTTAATGGTTTTATCCAACTAATGTTATAGTAACATGTAACTAATTAAAAACTAAAAGTAATTTATCCCTTTTCAACTAATGTTATGGCAACATGTAACTAATTAAAATGAACTATAACATTGGTAAAATAATTAGTATTACAAATTAGCATTACAAATTTTTACAAAAATGAACCACGAAATTTCCCCTTATAACAAGTCACAAATGAAAGAATAATACATCGCAAATCATTTTTTCTTACAAAAATAATACATCGCAAATCATTTTCTCTTACAAATTCAACTTTTTCTTAATCATATTTACAAATTCAACTTTGCTACATAATGAGCAATTTCTTTCATAATTGTTGCATTATCAAAGCTTCTTGCTAGGAGTTTTGATTCCCGAAATTCAATGTGTTAGCTAGCAACACATTCAATAAAAGTGCCGAAAAATATGTGACCTCTATGACTCCACGGCATGGTGGCATCATATTATAATAAGTCTTAGGTGTTTAAGATATTTTAGGTCCGTTTAGTTCGCTGATTCGAATTTAGATGTGATTTAATGTGAGAGTTTTTTACTGTAATAAAAAAGTTAAATGTGATTATTTCTGAGAATTTTTTACTCTAATAAAATTTAAATTCTAAACTCAAATCGATAAAATGAACGAATCTTTCGTATCACGAACTTTTGATTCCTCATTGTTCCATTCTCCACCAGCTAAATATAAAGCCATTTTAGCTTAGGTTCTACAAGGCTCCAATATTCCATTACTGTAGTTGGACAGGACTCTTTAAGTGATGTCATTGTATTAAAATTAAAAATTTTCGGTTCCGAAAAAATCCCAACAAAGAGTAGGGACAAACAAAAGAAGCTGAGTTAAAAAGAAATAAATAATACCCTTTTTTTTTTAAGAAAAAAAAAAGAGTGAACGTTTGGTTAGAGGATTCAAACTATGTGATTCGAATTATTTTTAATTTATGTGAATTTTTTATGAAAAAAAATATTATAACAAATTACGAATCATAATTCGAATTAAAGAACGAATCCCTCTACCAAACATCCTCGAAGAAATTCACCAATAGAAATGCTTGTGACCTATTATACTATAATACTAAAGTCGGTAGTGGAGTTACTGTTCTTTGAACAGTATACAATTTTTTTATAATTTCTCAGTGAAATGTCCGTCTTGCCCTTTGTTTTCTTTTTTTTTTCTTCTTTTACTGGGTGCGAGCTATGTTTGTACGATTTTGCCCTCGGTCTTGATTTTTTTCTGTTGATATATTGTCTTGGGCTTTTTGGTTATTTTCTGCCGAGAGAGGGAGGGAGGTCTTTGTTTTCTTCCTTTTTGTTTCTAAAATCCACTCTTCAGCTACAGTGGGTTCCACGGCGTCATCATATGTATAGTTAATGCACCACTACTTCATATATGGATGTTCGAGAACCTTCCATCCCTCCCAATTGGAGCTAGATAAGAAAAAGTAAAAATAATAAAAATATCCTCACCTGCTTTTGAACCTTCTCCTAATAGTTTTATCTTTTTCCTTTTTTTTTTTAAAAAGTAAAAGTTCATTCAATTAAAAAGTTTACAAACACTAATAATAATACAGATAATTTTATGGTATATAATACAAAACACTCGATAAAAATTATCTATCGATAAATTCTGATAAAGCACAAAAAAAATAACGCAAAAGAAGACCCGATATTAGAAAAATTTCTCGACAATTTGAACATGCGTAAGACTCATTTTGAAACCCCAACAATCAATGGAAGCTTTTGATCCATCGAGAGTATGTAGTCTCTAATGCCACCAACATCTTCGATTCATAGCTAGCAGAACTTTTAACTTGCTAATACTTAAATCTGATGGACCAAAAACAAACTCAAACGATGAGAGAACTACATCCATTATTACAACGAAAATACTAAAATTATATGACGAAAATATTGACGCTTTATTAGACAGAAACATAAACAACTAAAACTTAGAGCACAACAGTCGCAAGTCTTCAATAAAAATATAATTGACAAAAAGATTATCATGATAAGAAGAGCGTTTCAAAAGACAAGTGGTAAAGTCAATGAGATGCCCTCAAACAACATGGTTTCTCTCCTAATGGTTATGTTATTGTTTAAATGCCCATATTGGTACATGGCTTAATAATCAATGTGATTGAGTTTTATTTGAAATGAAATTCAAAGAGGGAAAATATAATTAATTTAGAATATTATAGGATATTTTCAAATATTTGCCGATTGAGTGACTCTGAGAACCTTATTTTCAGACAACTTATGGGTGATATTTTTCCATATATTATGAGATATGTTGGCTATAAATATCTAGACAACCAAAGCAAAATAAGGGTTCCGTGAAGAGTCTTCCATAAGTTTTTGATTCATGAATTTTTATGGTTATTTGAGTTTTTACATTTGTAATAACCACCCACCCACCCACGCTATAAGCAATCAAAGACGTAATTATAATTGTGTTCATGAAGTATCATGAGTTGCGAATCCCAAAACAATGCAACTCATGGATTGAATTCAGCATTAATGGAACACGCAATTGCGCATGTCTACCCGATATAAAATTTTTTAATTCTAATTTGAGTTGAGATGTGACTTTATGTGAGAGTTTTTTACTGTAAAAAAAATAGATATGACTGTTTTTTAAAATGTTTTACTGTAGTAAAACATGAATTCTAAACTCAAATCGGTGAAATGAATAAAGTCTTAATCTCATACCTTTTTTAGAACCACAACTTCTATGGAAGATACTTTCTATCGCTATTTTATATACTAATGGATAGAACTAATAAAAATAAGTAGACTTAATGAAATTTTATCAAAATTTAGCAGTTTAAGATGTACTAAATTTTTTTTTTTTATCTTGCCATGCATATGTTGATAGGGATGGTAACAGGACGAGACGGGGTGGGGAATGATTTACCATCCTCATCCCCACCCTTCAAAACCATCCACATTCTCACTCTCATCCCCGCTTAAGAAGAGGCGGGGGTGGAGTCAGGGATTCCCCGTTGGAAAGGTGTTCTCCATATCCGTCTCATTCCACATCAAATGCAATTAAGCATTGTAAAATTATTGTAACTTAAAGTAAAAATAGAGTAGAAAATCAGTATAAGTTTAGACCAAAATCAAAGGTTCCTCAATACAAACTAAATTCAAAACATAGGTAAAAAAATAAATAAATAAATAAATAGTTGTAGAGTCAAGAAAGGTCTTATTAAAAATAATAATTAACACATATGCAAAATGTATATGTATGTATATTTATATAAAAATATATTATATTATATATAACATTTGTATACCGGGCCGGGGGCGGAGTGAGGAGTGCTTTCTCTGTCCCCGCCCCGCTAAGATTTGGGGACAAGATTTTGTCTCCATCCCCAATTATTATTCTCCATCTTCGCTTTATTCGGTGCAAATCCCTGCGGGGTCCGTCCTCACGATGAATATTGTCATCTCTATATGTTAATTCTAACTTTTTTGATACCAACCCACATGATAATAACTTATTTTTTAAAATTGTTAGATACATTCTTTTAGTATTAATTGTGATAACAATCTCTTAATAATTATTAATAGTAATATAAAAACTCACATAACTTATAGATAGAGGTCAAGAGTTGAGATCTCTAACTTATAGTCATAGACTAGTTGAACTCAAGCACGTGGAAAATAATCTGTGTTAAGTTGTAATTAATTAATTGTCATGTAATTATTAAAAACATATAAAATCTAAATATAAAATCTCAATGAGGAACCAAAATAAGAAAAAAATAAGTTTTAGGGCAAGAAGCCAAGATAAAGTCAAGAAAGGACTAAAATGAATAAATAAATATTATTTTAGGGCAAAAGTAACCAAAGTGAAAAAATAAAGTTTCTCTGCCCTTTTGTACCGACCATGAGTCTTCCTAGGCATCGTTGCCATGGTTTCCTCGAGGTGGCGCCCTCTGGGGTAGTCCTTGTCCATTTACAGCTTCCCTTTTCGGGGCTCGTCTCCTGGCGGCCCTTTGCCTGCTTCCCCTTGTGTTCTCGCTCTCTCCAATCCCTTCCAAGGCACCACGCTAGTCACCATTATTCTGGTTCCCGGCTGCAGCTGCGTTTGGTGGTCTCGGTGAAGCGTCTTTAAAAGGAAGCATTGAGTTTCTCCCATCAATTCGCTCTATGGTAGTCACCAAGTGCCGAACCATATCAGTTAAGGAATTCAACTGTGCTTGCATCTGCACCAGATTTGGTTAGGGCGCGTTTGGGGTTGGAACTTCTTCACTCCCAACTGCACAGGTTGATTCTCTAGATTAGGTTGATTCTCACCCCTTTTTCCATTGGCCTAATTGGCTTGATTCACTTTGTTATCTTCAATTTGGCTGCCTTGATTCGCAGGTTGCTTATTGTTCTTCTTGGAGGCATGGCTTCAGATCGATTTTCTAACCGGAATTCTTCGCACTAACCAAAGATTTTGGGTTTGGTCTGCAGTGGAGTCGCCAATTGTTGACGGTGAAAATTCACCAACAAAATAATAACGAATTTCTAAACATTTTGTGCGAATTAAATGATTTAAAACACAATTAAAAGCGAAATTTAAATAAGAACACACAGAATTTATAGTGATTCACCCTCAATTCGAGAGCTACGTCCACTGCGGGGAGGAGAGAAATTTCAATATTTTTAGAGGAATTACAAGCATTAATGCTCAGAATAAGACTTAGGGATTTTCTGACTCATAATCCCTTATTTATAGCTTAGATCACCGCCCATAAACTTTCCCTATTTGAATGTGGGTTATTTCCTTTATCTTTTGGGATATTTTCTCAAAAAATAGAGATTATAATCAATCAGTTTCCTTATTTAAATTTTATATATTTAGTTTACGTATAGCAAATCTTGGAGCAAATCTCACAAATCTCGTATCTTGTGTAGCCTTGACTTCGTAAACACTTTCAGAAGCTTCTTCGCCTACGATTGCCGATACGGTCGGCTTCATGTTGTCATTTGTATCATTTCAGAATAGTCAACCTCTTTCATATGCCTGACACTTATTTCTAGCGGTCGACTCTTAAGAGAGTTATCCACTGACGTGACAGTTAGGGTTGAGCTATCATTGATCATTTAATGCTCTTATTTAAGGTTTAATTATGGATCTCATGCAAGATTTAATTTAAAGTTTAACATTTTACCCTATAATACTATTTATGTGGTCAATTCTTAAATTTAAATGATACAGTAAATAATTAGTGACGAGACACCAATCAAAATAGAAAAATAAAAACAGCAAATCCGGACTCAACATTTTCATATCACAAAAGCTTTATTATGATTTCTTTAAAGCCAAAAAAAAAAAAGAAAACTTGTCCAGATCACATGTTAGGAACATTTTTTATTTTCTATTTTGAAATGTTATAAACAATTATTAACTCTAGTAGTTTTTTCCCCTTACAAGAAAGAAAGAAAGAATAAAAAAAAAAAAAAAACTCAATTACCCTACATTTCTGTCCCTTTGCATGACTATGAAAGAAGAAAAGAAAAACTGCCACATGGCCTTCCGAAAGAGAAAGCTTTGGGAGAGAGAAAAATATCTCAACCCAATTTTGCATAGTCACCTTCCCCAACTAATCATATCTTGTACAAAAAAGGAAAAAAAAGGAAAGAAAGATAAAAAAAGAAAAGAGAAAGTACATATTTCTGCTATTGATAAATCATTGATAGCTACCTCTTTACATACTTCTGGGCCCTGGCTCTTCTGTTCTTCTCCATCGCCACTCTCTTTCACTGCCTAATATTCCTCTCCATACTTCTTCAAAAAATAATTATTATAATAATAATAATAAAACTCTCCATATCACCCCAAATTAAGTCTCCCTCTTTGTGATATCCGTTTCATTTTTTTGTTATATCAAACTCTAGACTAATTTCTCAACCTTCTTTTTCTTCTTCTTCTTCTTCTTTTTTTTTTTGTTTTTTGTTTTTTGTTTTCTAACATGTCTTTCGTTCATGTTTTGACCAAAAAATAGTTGCCAAAAATATATTTCCATTTCCATGTCTACCTTTGGTACTATTGAACTGGTGTATTTTTGCTAAGAAGTTCAAAAAAAAAAAAAAAAATCCAACTTTGGTTTTCTCTCAAACCCCGCATACCCAGTTGACTAAAAACCTTCCCCAGTTAGAAAATCTTGTCTATATATAGATATATACACGGTTATTACATATATATATATATATATATATAGAAGGAGAAAATCAAGATTGAGTTGTAGTGAAAATGAAGTCTCAGTTTGTGCGAGTGAAGGAGGAGTTTCCGGGTGGTGCAGCAGCAGCTCCACAGCCAATTGAGGGGCTTCACGACGTGGGTCCCCCACCTTTTCTGACGAAGACGTATGAGATCGTTGAAGATCCGGCGACCAATCATGTCGTTTCTTGGAGCCGAGGGAACAACAGCTTTGTCGTTTGGGATCCCCAGAACTTTGCCATGAGTCTTCTCCCCAGATATTTCAAGCACAACAATTTCTCAAGCTTTGTTCGGCAGCTCAACACTTATGTCAGTGCTTTCTATACTCTCTCTCTCTCTCTCTCTCTCTCTCTCTCTCTCTCTCTCTCTCTCTCATGTCAAGCTATATCACTTGGTATATTCATTATTCAAGAATGATATATAATATATATATGTAGTATTTAAACATAATCTATGAGTGGGCTCTTTTGATTTGATGTTTTTAGTGTTTATACATTGGAAAAATCTAGCTCTAAGGAGATGTATCTTCATCCTTTTCCCACCTTTTAACTCTTTTCCCTAGATTTTTCTGGTTCCTTTTCCTTTTTTGTGTAATGGGTCACTTGTATGTGGACATTTTTCATTTTTGTTTGTCTAATATTATTGGCCTCGTGAAAAAAAGAAAAAAGCATTGTGATGTATTATAAGATATGGGTTTTGCTTCTCTTGGGTTGTCTCATTAGGGCATCGATTTGCACAAATTTAGATGTTTATTTGAGCTTTATTTTATGTTATAAGAGAGATGAATCTTTGGCTTTCTCTCATTTTTCTCTCTTTTCGTCTCTTGGCTTAATATATGTGTTAGTTTGTATCATGCGCACATTTTGTTTGTTAAATGGCTTGAAAAAAGAAAGTGCATAAATCAAACTCATGGACTATGCAATACACTATTTTGAAGCCGGTTTTGCTTCTGTTAAAAGCTGCCTCAAATTTAAATGGTTTGAGCTTTATTTTATGTTGTATTTTTAGAGTACTATATAGCTATATATCGTGGCTTTAACAAGCTATAATGAATTAGAAAGCAATTGGGTTAATGTAGGGATTTAGAAAAGTTGATCCAGATAGGTGGGAGTTTGCTAATGAGGGATTTCTGAGAGGACAAAAGCATCTCCTAAAGAACATTAGGAGGAGGAAACCATCTCAACCCGCTCAGTCTTCTTCACAGCAAGCTAATTTAGACCCGGCTTGTGTCGAAGTGGGACGGTTTGGATTAGACGGAGAGGTCGACCGTTTAAGGCGTGACAAGCAGGTTCTAATGGTGGAATTGGTGAAACTTAGACAGCAACAGCAGAACACAAGATCTTACCTCCAAGCAATGGAAGATAGGCTAAAGAGGACTGAGCTTAAGCAACAACAAGTGATGAATTTCTTGTCAAGGGCAATGCAGAACCCCAACTTTGTGCAACAATTAGTCCAACAGAATGACAAAAGGAGAGAGCTAGAGGAAGCGATTTCTAAGAAGAGAAGGCGACCGATCGAGCAAGGACCAAGCGTTGTCGATCAAGTAGTAGTTGATGATGGTGATGATGATATTGGTTTAGGCCAAAGCAGTGGAGGAGCTGAGAATATCTTTGTGAAAATGGAGCCCCAAGATTATAACATTGACATGGGCGCCGAATTCGACCAAGAAGTTGATGAATTGGATGAGCTCACCACTATTGACATGCAAGGAATGAGTAGTGGAGCTATTAGCCAAAAGAACAACACAGAATTAGAAGAAGAAGTTCATGGGAGTTTTAGTAATAGAGATATAGAGCTTGATGAAGGATTTTGGATAAACTTGTTGAATGAGAGCATGGAAGAGGAAGTCGGAATTTTGGGTGTTGATGATGAAGAAGATGAGGAAGATCATGTAGACATTCTGGCTGAGCAGCTTGGTTTTTTGGCCTCTAGCCCCAAGTAAAGAACCAGACCATCATGAGCTTGCAGTATTGTGGGTAAAAGAGACTGTTTACTTCATATATACCTGACTAATTTACTTAGTTTGTTTCGTTGTTTCATCTCTCTTTGTGTAGGATTGCATTATTAACTTAGATAGATGGACTGAAAACAAACATTTTTATGTCAATGAAATTTTTATAACTTCTTTTGGTGACTTTCTTCCAAGCTTGTTAGAATTGCTTCTTATGGTGCTCTCCATCTCCTTTCTACTATGTTGTATGGTTTATATCACATTTATATCTTCAGATGATGCTAATTTGATCCATTCATTAATTCTTGAATCATCCACACCCTTCTTAAACTAACATGCATATGGGATATTTACCTTTTTATGCTTTTGGGTTTATTCAAAATTACATTTTTAGTTTGAGTAGTTAGATTTAATACACAATTCTATACTTTTTCATAGTCAACCATCAACTTTAACCTTAAAAGTACCTAAAATACCCTTGAATAAAAAATAAAAATAAAAACAAAAGAAAAAAAACTTAAGGTTTTGACCTAAAAAATATTTAAAGTACGGTTGAAATTGGTTTTTTTCATATTTTTAATTTTTATTCTTTGTAATATTGGAAAGTTTAATTTTTTTTTTTCTCTTTTTCTTAACAATAGTTTGGTCCTTTAAAAGTAAAAATCAGTTGTGGACCGAAATAAGGTATGAATTTGTGTATTAAATCTAATTTGAAGATATACATTTGATAAGATTAAAAATTAAAGGTATATATTTTGAATAAACCTAAACACAATAGTATAAAAGTATGAATATCCCCATGCATATTAATACAAGATGTTCTGAATTTGAACCTCTATAATCCCAGTACTCTCTAAGTCATCATTACGTTTATTCCTTTAGGTTCAGACTGAAATTATCATTCTATCTAGTTTGAATTTGCGCATCCGTTGTTCTATATGTATGAAAAAAATTTGCACACTATCACAAACTAACTAGTTCATCTCTAATTACTAGTTTAAATGTTTAAGAAAAGTTATAGATAAATTAATACATGCATGTTCTTAGAATTTATTGGTCTGTTTATTTTATGCGTTTAAATCAGTAATTTTGATTATGAATTCAAATTTTATAAGAGAATTTATTGACGGGAATTTTTTTAATTCAAAATTTATGCGAGAGAAAAGTATGTAGCAGAATTAGAATTATAGGAACCAAACGGGCTATATATATGAATAACCACATATTTTCTCAACTGATGATTCTTACGTGCGAGGTATATAAATACACAAACCCTATTTAATCTTATAGAACTGAAAATGCAAGCTTAAAGCATAGAAAACAATTTGGAATTGCTGTATTTTGTCTCTGATTAGGTGTCGGAAAATATTGCTGACTTGCACACCATACAATACATACATACATACATACATACATATATATATATATATATGTATATATCCACATTTTTTTTAGAGTACTCTCGTCATCAAGATGATTAAAAGCTCTTCTTGAAAGGCATCAAAATGAGGAGCATATCTCGTGTTTAGATTTGTGTGTTCCTGACCCACTGACAAAAATAAAAATAGTTGATTTTGTGAACTGTGTAGTTGGATTTGTTGGTGTTTTTAGTTTCCAGTTTTCCCAAAATTGTTCTTTTACAATCTAGCACATTCTAAAATAAATTATTATATATCTTTCTAAAGAGACGACTGGGCCGCATCATTTATTTTACACCAATAAAAAAGTGACCTTTTTTGTGTATTATAATAATATGACTTTAGTGCTAAATTCATCTTCATAGCTCATAAAAATGACCTTGATATTGACAGTTAGAAATTAAAAACCTTATGGTAGGGTGTGAAAATTCACCCTGGTAGGACAAAATTTTGAAGCGTTAAATCATATATAATTATATGATACATTCGCTTGACAAAAAAAGACGTTAAATCATATCTAATCATATGTAATTAGATTTGTTTTTACCCTTTTACACCTAGCACAGTTCATTAGGTGGAGCCTATAAAACATTATATAGATTGTATAACTATATATGTACATACATGTGGGAGGGTCTTAATAAATAAGGGTTGGCATTTGGCAAAAAGGCTTTTTATCAGTGTATGGGCAAAAGGGAAAAAGGTGGAAGTTGAGCTATATATACATATATATATATATATATGTATATACGTTTTAAAGTCACAAAAATTAAGGCTTCCCGTTAGTTTATCCGATTTGACTTTTTAATTATTAAATTTTTTAATAATAATAAAAAAATTAAATGTGATTTTTTATAAAATCGCCCCTCTAGTCTGATATTGAGTTGAATCACACGGCTGAGTGCTTGCAAATTTTTTTGTCTGGTGAAGTGATTAGGTTGCACATGCTGTGCATGTGCAGTTTTAGCTTGCACTTGCCACAGACTAATCATTTTTGTCTGCCCAAGCCCAAGCGTGTAATTTTTCAAATGCTCTTTAATAAATTACTTTTTTTTTTCTCTTTAAAAGAAATAATCTGTTGACGAGTGTTTTGGGCCTTTTGGCCTCATTCGCGTGTGGTGGTAAATTTTAATTTTTAATTTAAGTTGATATATAATATTTTTTTAGAGAAATAGTAGAAAATAGGTCAATATAAAAAGTTTAAAAAAGTATATAGGTTAATTTTTAGTTATAGAAATTAATAGGCCATAACTTATCAAGTTATGGTTCATAACCAGATAAGTTATTGACAATAATAGACAATAACTTGTTAAGTTATGGTTCATAACCAGACAAGTTATGGACGAAAACAGTAATTTGACCTATTTATTAACTTATGTAAACTATTGGCCTATTAATTTTAATTCATCTCAAATCTTGGCCTATTTTCCTCTTTCTCCCTATTTTTTAATAGTTTTTAATTATAATAGAATAAATTAGATGTGATATTTTTAAAAAAATTTTAATTGTAAAAATTGAAAATTGAAAATTTGAATTGATAAATTTACATCATGGTCACTAGTATTATTATTATTATATATATATATATATATATATTTTTTTTTTTTTTTGTGTAAAATGCTAGGGTTTATGTTTATGGGCGTTGCCAGTATATATCAAGCTTTGGAGCATGAAATCTCTAAAAACCTACTCAATTTTGTGTTGATGGCCCTGACGTCAAATATAATTTTGTCACTTCCCACTTGTACTATATGAAAAATAAAATGATCAATTATAAAGAGGTTTACGTTAGATTTTATTTTCACTAGTTTTAATGTTGTGCTGCTTAACAAAAGAGTATAGATATGTTATTCTTAAGTTGTTGTCTCTTTTTTGTCTTATTAAGGACTCGTTTAATTCGATAATTCAAGTTGAGATATGACTTTATGTGAGAGTTTTTTACTGTAATAAAAAAAATTAAATGTGACTGTTTCTGAGAGCTTTTTACTGTAATAAAACTCGAATCGGTGAAATGAATGGAGTCTAACTCATTCTAGAAAACTCTATTAATTCTTGTAATTTAACTACAATGAGGTGTCAATAAAGAAAGAAGATAAACAACTTACGGATATCAAATGTTCCATTTAAGACAGAATGAACCTGGACGGATTCTTTAGAGAATTGGCCAATTTGTACAACATAGCAGCATCTCCTTTGCAAATCAATCAACCTATCTAAATTCAACTTACCAAAAACATCTAAAAGTTTACTTTCACATAATATCCAAATCGATTTACTTTAAACAGTTTCCTAATAATCAGAAACTTCCCCAAAAAAAAAAAAAAAATTCCTGCTGCCTTTCATTCTTTAATCAGATTATCATCAAATCATGCTCAAAATAATGTTAAAATTCAAAAACCAATCAAATCTGAAAATGACAATCAGAACTGAATTCCCAACCGTCTGATTTTAGGATAATAGTGCTTTGGTATCATAAACACTGTGTTTCGATAGCCGGGATGAGAAATAGAAAGGAATAAGAAGTAAAATACTTAAGTGGAGAAAATAATAAGGAAAGAGAGGAAATAGGAAGACAAATGTAAAAAACAAAAAAACAAAAATAATAATAATAAAAGAAAAAAAAACAAAAAACAAAAAACAAAACAAATCTTAATGGGCCAAGTGCGCAATACCCACCTTCATACTGGTCTTTCCATACAGACAATCACAATATTAAGGACAGAAGCCGATGACTATTCTTAAGGACCATTTGAGCTCATAAATGGTTTCGAGGTTCTCCTAGCCCAAGTCAAGTATCTAATACATGTGTTTCATGAGAGAAAAGTAATTTTATGATATTCTAAATAATTAAATGTCATTATAATTTTTTATTTTCTATTTTTTAATTAAAATAAAAATTACTTCCTTTTAAATATAATAATATAAATAATATTTTTTTTGCTATTATGAGTGGTATTTCTGGTTTTTCTCCTTTCCAAAATGCTAAAAAGCCTAAAATCACAAGCACATTCCATCCAAAAGCCAATATGCTTTGTGACCAATGATATTGACTTTGTTCTTATTTTGATGACAAGCTTTTGAATTCAGTACTTGAAATAAATTTAAATGGCCCAATCTACGTAAGCACCTTGATTTGAGAAACCCATTTGAAGCTTTTCTTTCGGAATAAAATGCTATTACTTTGTCATGCTTTTGTTTGATTGCCTACCCAACAAAAAACTTCTTCTATCGAATATAATTGTTTTTCTTGTTCTTTTCTCCTTTCTTGACAATTGTATTCATTTTTTAAAATTTTTCTTTTCTACATTGCTTATCATGATACTTCTTTTGTTTTTTTTGGTAGAAGGTCGTAATTCACTAGCAAATTCAAAATTTGAAAATCAAGGGTATGATTGAATGCAACGCTACCAAACATCAAACAAAAAAAAAAAAAAAAAAAAAAAAAAAAAGGAAAAAGAAAACGGAAAATGGAAAATGGACCTGACTCCAAGCTCGAAACCAAAGCCTTGTCTCCATCAATTCCACCGACAGCCCAACTTTCACCTTTATCCATTTTGGAAAGACTACTCTACTACATACACCCATTTATCTTTGTCCCCATCTCATTCTCCACCGTTGATAAAAGTATTCAGAGACTCTTGAACCCGTTCATTTCACCGATTTAAATTTAAAATTCGAGTTTTGTTACAGTAAAAAGCTCTTAGAAACAGTTACATCTAACTTTTTTACTATAATATAAAACTCTCACATAAAATCACATCTCAATTTAAATTAAAAACTCGAATCAGCGAATTAAACGGGCTATTTATCTCAACTACACCGTTAAATTTCTCGTGATGACATTCTAGATCCTAACAATTAGCCAACAAATAAGCAACGTATTCCACCATATGGTAAGTGGAGAGCAATACACATAATTACAACTCATCGGACTAATCAAAGGCCATTGACCATAAACTATAAGGCTTCAATTAGCATCAAATTATCTTTTGAAGTCGCCCCCTAAACCTATTGAAATTGTGCCCCATTTTTTCTTTTGAAGGAATCCAATAAACCGTTTTTTGGTCAAATAAAGTTTTTTTTTTTGTTTTTATTTTTTTTAGGTAGAATATATTCTTAAAAATCCTTAGTCAATGTATGACGGTACACGCTAAGTTGGTAGCATTTAAACACTTGCATTGGATCCAAAAAAATTCAATTAATCCCTGATAATCATAATGGGAAAGTGCGTGGGATTAAAGTCTCGTTCGCTTCGTGAATTTGAGTTTTTAATTTAAATTGAGATGTGATATTTTTTTAAAAGTTTTTAACTGTAATAGAAAAACGTTTATTAATTGCCTCTTAAAACAGGAACCAAATCCCATTTGTAAGAATTCATATATGCACATTGAAAATTGCTTTTATTCTGGGAGGAGCCATGAGGAATCCATTTTCATATGCTCATATATAGCAAAGAGTAATACAAGTTAGCAAATGGCAAGAAAACTACGACCAATAGAGAAAGTTCACCTTCCAAAATCCACAAAGACTGAAAACTCCTTTACATAAATTATACTCTTGCCTCCGTAACAAAAATTTGGTTTGTTTGTATTAAATTTTTAGGCCTTTGGCCTTCAAAAATCTCTTGGAAAACAATTTGAGATTGTTTGGTTGGAGGATTCGTACCCCGATTCAAATCATGGTTCATGGTTTGCTACAGTATTTTTTTTCACAAAAAATACACGTAAATAAAAAATAATTCTAATCTATGAACCAAACGTCTCCAAAATTAATATTATGGTCCCGTTTATTTCACCGATTTAAGTTTTGTTATAATAAATAACTATAAAAAACAGTCACATTTTAACTTTTTTACCACAGTAAAAAATTTTCACATAAAATCACATATTAACTCGAATTAAAAACTCGAATCAACGAACTAAACGGACCCTTTACATTTTAAAGAATTCAAATCTTATATATAAATTTCTTATCTTAGTTCTTGTCCAATCAGTATATTCATGTCAATGTCATGAATACAATGAAATATAAAATTAATTTGAGTAAATTCAAATTTCAAATCATTGGATATGAAAACACAAGTTGTACTCAAATTGGACAAAAGATTTGAATTTAATTAGCGTTGCTTTATGAGTTTAAATTAAAGAAGGTATACACGAATGGATCATATTTATACATCATAGATTTCCTTTTCTAGCTGAGTTACGTATATTAACAATTTCATTTTTATCCGTAAACTCGAATTACAGGATAAATTCTTTATAGCTCCTAATTTTTAAAATGACTCAAAATAAGCTTCATTTATAAAATTATCTTAATTAGCCATTTGTCAGTCCGACCACTAAAATCTCAAAAAGAAAAAAAAAACACACACACACACATAGAAAGACCATATGTAGTCTAATATAGATTAATTTTGTAATTTACATGTTATGGTACGACTTTTTAAAAAACAAAAGTCGTGTCTTTTATGTTGAAACTTTAATAGGCAGAGTCCAGAACAAGTTTGGTACAACTTAAGAAACTTTTTTATGGTAGGGCCGCGATGGATTAGTTTTTTATAATTAGATTTGATTAAAATTTGATCAGATTAAAAAAATATACCGAATATATAATTTTTTATTAAATTTAATGATTAAAAGTAAGAAATTACTCATAATATATTTTTTTAATTTTAATAGAAAAATTTTAACAACTTATGTCTCGTTCATTTCATTAATTTAAATTTTATTACAGTAAAAAATTTTCAGAAACAGTCACATTTAATTTTTTTACTATAATAAAAAATTCTCACATAAAGTCACATCTTAACTTAAATTAATAAACTAAATGAACTCTCAATTAACAGTTTGATGAAGACATTTTAAAAATTAGTGATTGAATTGTGAATTTTAGGTATAATTAGAAGACAAAATAATTTAACGAAAAAAAAAGAAGCCAGAGGGCAGTTCCGTCATAAGTCATGTAATGACGTAAATTCCAAAAACCCAAAATTTTAAGAAAATTCCTCTCTCTCTCTCTCTCTCTTGTTTCTCTAAAAGTGGCTGAAGAGAAGAAAAGCCTTCGTATAGAAGAAGCTCCCTCTCGTTCTCTCTATCTCTCTATAGGTGTGCTTCACGAGCTCACACTTCAGTTTCAGCTTCAATTTCTCTCTCCTTTCCATACCCGATCCGAATTCCCCATCTCTTTCTCTCTCTAGATTTCCCTCTCCAATGCCGTTTACGTGAAGATTCACTCCTTCAATCGACTGTTTCGTTCGTTCCTCGCTCGCGGATCCTCGGCCTCCGATCAGAGTCGACTCACCGCATTGACCGAGTCAGTCAACGCTCCGACCTTGACCAATGGGGGCCGTGCCTTCGACCCCTCGCTGGAGCGGCGCGCGACCGCAGGACACGGCGGAGTACCTGATCGCCACCTTTGTCGGCGAGAAGTCCTTCCCAATCTCCTCCGATTTCTGGCAGAAGCTTCTCGAGCTCCCCCTCAATCTCCAATGGCCGTCCCACCGCGTTCGCCAAGCCTGCGAGCTTTTCGGTTCGTTTCTCAAATCTCTCTGCGCGAAATTTCCCTTTTTTCCTTTTCTTTTAGGCTTTGATCTTGACGAATTGAGCTAGGAAAACCCGACATTTTGGAATTTCAATTCGTGTGAGTAATTTGGCGTTTTCTTGCGAGTCGTTGAAGGAATTTGCCGAGTTCTGGTCTGAATTTCTTGTTTTCATTGCGATCCTGTTGAACATGGTAATTTATTAATTTTCAAAATTGTATATAAGCTAATAGTTTTCGTAATTGGTGGAATTTGAAAACTGAAGTGACATTTCTTGTGGATTGAAATGTGCGGAAAGATTGAATTTTGGAAGTTACAACTTTGGGAATTAGGATAATTCATTTGGTGGTAATTAACTTATTACATATACTTTTTAGTTGCGTAATAAAAGTTCCAAAAGTTGAGCGTATCCTTAGTGTTCTTGTTATTAGAATCTGTCTTGAAATTCCGAAGTTCCATCCTAAACCTCTGTGAGGAAACAGTGCAACTAAATTACTAAATTAGGTTTCTATCCCCATTATGGGACTTAATGTCAACTTTGGAAATGAAAAACTTAAAACTTGGTAATTGGATAGAGGCACTTTTTTTTTTCCTTAAGATATTCCTGCAAATTTTCTTGAACAGATTTTATTTTATTTTATTTTTGGGTTGATAGTCCTGAAGATAACTCAAGAGAACGTAAATCTCCAACCAGCATTTGGGGTATACTCGAGATTTCAGAAATTAAATCCCACAAAGACTTTCAATGTTACCTAAAAATATAGTATTTCCCAGATACTTAAAATAATTTATTTGGTCAATGCTGATGCCATTGCTGCTCGCCAGATATAGAGAAACCCAAAACTCCCATATGAGTTAGAAATTTGCATTGTTTATTTCTGGGAGAACTCCTGATTTTATGTAAACAAATCTGAGTGACATGAACATTCTCCTTGTTTTGTAATTTTTTAACATTATAACTTCTAACAGCTTTCATAGCAATGCCATGTTACCCAGTTTTCTATTTTAGTTTGTTGTTTTTGTTATTCAGTTTCCTTTCTTCCTTGTGCAGTGCGGAATAACTATAACACCAGGAATCTTGCAAAGATTTTCATCCATTTGGCATGGTGTTTGCAAGAGTGTATTTCAACTTCTGGTGCACCATCCGTTGTTTATGGAAAGGCTCTTAATGCATTGTACATCTCATCAATCTTCCTAAAGTACTTAATAGAAAATGCCAAAACGGACAAGATTGAGGAGTTGCATCTATTCCTAGATGAAGCTGAACCAACACCAACAGATGTTACGCAAGGTAATTTACTTGTTATGTAAAGACTTCTTGGCTGCATACCGTACATATATTTTTCCCTTTGTTTCTTTGATTTTCTTTTCCCACCAAAAAAAAAGAAAATAATAATAATAAAACAAGCCTCTTAGCCTGTATAACTTAGCATCTAGCTATAATCCCGGATATCAAAAAATGACTCTTCTATGATGAAATCTATCTACCATGTACTTGTTGGATTGGCTTGCTTCTATCTTTATGTCATTTTTCCTGGTATAGTTGGGTTTTGGTTTGACCTTCTTTCTACTATTTGTCATAAGCCTTATTTTTCTCATTGTCACTCCTATTGTTATTTTGCAGGTTTGACGATACAAGATTTTCTTGTGCATGCTGTGCTTCGCTTCATTGGTTCAATAGATGTAAGGTACATCCTGGAGTATTCAGCTGTTTATATGATTGTGATTATAGCTACTTTCTTCCTGATTCTGTATTTTCTTTGTCTCAAGTCCCAATACATACGTCCTCCATTTGGAGCTGCTTAACTTCATGCTGATAGCAATGTCAACTCAACTTCTTTCTGGGCCATCTCCTGGACTGAAAGATGTGAACCCCTTTATTGATGCGGCAATGGCTCAGGTTACTGAATAACAATTTGATTTTACTGTCCGATACAAAATCTACAGATCTGTTTCTATCATTATTTCTCACACCATTACTCCAATCTTCAGGAAAGCTCGTTGGTTATCTCAGTTGTGTGCAGACTTCTAGTCAATTACATCACGCACCCTCCCTTCAACACTGCATCGTACTCGATATTTTCTGAGGGAAGTCAGCCTGGTGTTCTACAAAAAGTCAGTTCTGCAGCTGGTACGTTTTTAGTCAATTTGAGGGTTATTCCAGCTATTTAATAAACCCAAAAAAGGAAGAAAAAAGAATTGTTATTCCAGTGGTAATAATTTTTTAGACTAAATTGGATATGTACCTTTAATTTCATCATCAACCTTGCAAAGGTTGATTCTTTAGATTTTACACAAATTTGAAGCTTGTTAACTGATTCTGCTAGTTCTTTTAAATGTTTGACTTGCAGCAAATATTGTATTGTTACCATTCAATTATCTGGTCAGTTCAAGTGGTGAAGGCTCAAAAGGTCCATTGGCGGACTGCAGTCTCCATGTACTGCTTATTCTTATTCATTATCGTAAATGCGTGTTGGGGGATGAGTTCATAACAGACAAAAGTGATGGCACTGCTGCTTCAGATTCCAATTTGAAGCTAACTATGTGTTTTTCTGACAATCCTTACTGCAAAGTCGTAGAGAATACAATGGATGTTGAATGTATGATATTCCTTTATTGTATTTACCTCTCTTCTGGTGTTTATTTATTTGTTCATTTATTATTTATTGTTTTTTAAGATGATGAGGGTAAACCTTTTACCCTTTACTTGCAGTTGATCGTTTAGATACTGAAGGGAATGCACACAATGGTCCAGTTTTGAGGTTGCCTTTCGCTTCTCTTTTTGATACTCTTGGAGTGTAAGTTTTTTCATGCTGTTTTTTTGCTACCTCTGTTTATTGGCTGAATTCGCATATACTGCACCGATGGGATTATTTTTTATGAATTTGTGTTTTTTAAGATTTTCAAATGACGGGCTTGTTCTTTATCCTTATTTTGTTGGTCTGGTACATCATAACAGTTTCTGGCTCTGCAGGTGCTTGGCTGATGAGGCTGCTGTACTGTTGCTCTACTCGTTACTGCAAGGCAACTCAGACTTTCTGGAATATGTCTTAGTGCGAACTGATTTGGATACATTGGTATGCAGCAACAACAAATTCTTTTCATAAATAAGGAAGAGATTGACATGTTTCTCTCATAGGATATCATATTAAGAAATCGTGTGACTTAATGACTAAGGAACTTAGGGCCCGTTTGGAAGGTATACTCAAACCATGATTCTTGATTTTGACGTTTAAAATTCAAATTTTTTGTGAGAGGAAAACGTTGTACAAGAATCAATAATTTGAGTTTGAATATATGAAATTAACGGGTCCTTAATATCTTACATTTTGGAGTTTTGTAGCTAGTCTCTCTGGGTTGGCCATACAGCAGCCAAATTCTTATCTGAGTTTTAATGATGAAACTGACAGTTGATGCCCATTCTGGAAGCTCTATACAATGCTCCTAAGAGGTCGTCTAATCAAATTTACATGTTGTTGATTATACTTCTCATGCTCAGTCAAGATTCCTCCTTTAATGCAAGCATTCACAAATTGGTATGACTTCCTCTGAAAGCTAATGTATGACTTTTAATGCGCGGATGGTATTGATAAGTTTTACACATGGACAGATACTTCCAAGTGTTCCCTGGTATAAAGAACGTCTCCTCCATCAGACGTCCCTTGGTTCCTTGATGGTTATAATCTTGATAAGGACCGTGCAATATAACCTGTCAAAGCTGCGGGTATGACTCGAAGCATCCATGTTCTTTCATCTATTGTGCTAGGGTTTTTTAAGTGATTTATGAGTGCCATATCAGTTTGCTTTTGTAACTTAAGATTTAATCAGCCACACTTTTATACTAAGAATTTACCTGCTTTTGCATATTACTTTCTATATTAATGTTACAAACATAGGGGTATGTTAGTGGACACTGAATTTGATGTTGGTGGTATTAGTTTTGGCTTGGAAATGTCTCAGATGAAACTTGCCTGATTGAAGGTAACCCATGTTCCCACAAGGGTTTTGAAGCTTTTTGCCTTTTGGTTTGAAACGGGGGGATGGTTTGAGTTTGAGAAAGCTACTAAGTTTGTTTGTTTGTCTGAACAAGCTTATTACATTTGTTGATGCATTGGCTCTTTTCCTTAATACCACTTTAGTTTTTTGAAGTACTTGGCTAAAAATGTTTCCATGGATGAGATTTTATCCACGTGTTTTGCAAACGTTTTCTAGTTTTCATTTTTCAGTTATTGAATTATAACAGGATGTTTATCTCCATACTACTTGTTTGGCAACTTTGGCAAACATGGCACCCCATGTTCACCGCCTGAGCTCATATGCATCACAGAGACTGGTCAGCCTTTTTGATATGCTATCACGGAAGTATGTCCTGCTCTGAAGATTAAGCCTTGTATTTTACTAGATCTTTAACACTTTATAGGTTTACTTTAGATCACATTTTTTTTCCCTTTTCCTGAAACATTTGCATCTTGATATGTTCAACTTAGGTACACTAAATTGGCAGAGATACGAGATAATAATATGCATTTAGCAAAAGGAAACTCAGTAGACGAAAGTGGCCTTTCTGATGATACGGTAATTAGCATAGACCGTGTATTTATGGGGTTTCCCCCCTCCCTAAAATACTTAATATTAATCCATTTGAATTCCATTAGATGCTTAATTGTGTCTACTAAGCTAGTTTTTTTCTATTGGCAGTCAACAGAGATGCATATATATACAGATTTTCTGAGACTTGTCCTTGAAATACTAAATGCAATTCTTACTTATGCTTTGCCGCGAAATCCTGAGGTACCATCATATGGTTTAGTTTTCTTATGAGATTCTCATAAATGTATTCACGTTATCACCTTTTATCTTTTCTGAGGAGCTCTACTTTTTGCAATTTGCAGGTTGTATACGCAATAATGCACAGGCAGGAAGTTTTCCAGCCTTTTAAAAGCCATCCACGGTTCACTGAGCTCCTGGAAAACATCTACACCGTATGTATCGGATTATTTTATTACAAAATTGTTGTTTACTCTCTCCCATTGTAAATCGGAGCATAAGAAAAATCTCTGTTAAGATAGAAAGTCTTTAATTTTTTCAATTGGAAGGTCTCAGGCTAAATTTCTTAGTGCAGTTTGAAATAAAGTAATTCAATTGTCTGTAGGTATTGGATTTTTTCAATAGTCGCATGGATGCACAGAGGGTGGATGGAGAATGGTCAGTAGAGAAAGTCCTCCAAGTAATAATTGTTAACTGTCGATCTTGGCGGGGTGAAGGGATGAAGGTAAGAGAAGGATTGCATACTATTCAGCCTGGTCTTTTAGCATGCTTTTCTAGATTTATTTATTTATTTGTTATAAGAATCTTGACAATCCCTTGTTTTCAGATGTTCACTCAATTACGCTTCACATATGAACAAGAGAGTCATCCAGAGGAATTCTTTATCCCATACGTGTGGCAGCTAATTTTATCCCGCGGGTATGTTTTCTGCACCTTTCTCCATCCAGAAAAAGAATGAAGATGGAGGGATTCTTAGTTAAAATTCTCTCTTCATGTTGCAATTGGATATATATTATGTTCATATTTTTTGTCATACAATTTTGTTGATTTTCCATCTACGTTAGTGCTGTCACTATTATCTCCTATTAAGATGATCTTATCCATTTCGTTTGTTTTCTTATGTCCTTCAGTGCTCTCAGTTTCAATCCAGGAGCCATAAATTTGTTTCCGGCTGATTCACCTCCAGAAGTAAGAATCTAAATCTTTGGTTGAAAAATATCCTTTGACTATTTTCATATGCTGATATAATGTTGCATTGGTTTTCTCAAAGAAAAGTTTTGTAATATATATGAGTTATTTGACTATTTTCTTTTGCCTTTTTATATGATTATCATTTGAATAAAACACTTCTTTTTGTATCTGCAGAGACAAAATGATTATGGAATGTTTCCCAACGGTCAAGTGAATGGTGAGTTGGAGCGTGCGGTTTTCTTGGACGCATAGCGGCCACCAAAAGAAACACACTTCTCCCACTTCCTGGTGATTCGTGAATATGTAAATACATGAAATATTAGAAATATATATATATATATATATATATTCTTGTCATTCTTTTCTGTTTATATATGTTTTGTATCACTGTAGAGGCCTTTCTCCCAAAGATATATTTTGAATGTCCAATGTAATGAATAAGAGACGAAATGTTATTCTCAAATTCGATTATCACAGTATAAATTTTTCAAAAGAATTCAAATTTTGCCTCTTGATTTTTGGTTTGTGTCTGTTGTTGCCGCCATATTTAGTACTGCCAAAGTTTTTTACCCTCTTTTGGATAATTGCTTACAGAATTTCTTGAAAAAGGCGTAATGAACTTCATGCTTATCGTTCGCTCTTTCAAAAAAATTCCCTAATATATATATATTTAGAGAGAGACCTTCAATGATAGCGCTTGGGAAGACTTTAGTTTGTTAAGAACTAAAAAGCAACTCTCTTTTTAGACCCGTTTGCTATATGGATTTAAAGTTTCAAACCAATGGCTTTGATTAAAAAAACACCTAGCAAAATTAAAATTATAAATTTAAATTAATAAAAAATCCATTATGAATTTAAATCCATGAAAAACCCATATACCAATAGAGTTCATGGTATATCTATTCAAATTTCCTTGTATGTTACTCTTAGAGAGAGAATATCCATGAAGATTATCTTCATCCCCACACTATAGATGTACCATGCTATCTTTAAGTTAGACCGAACCGTCAAATTCCATTAAGTTATTTCGTTTTTTTTTCCTTTTTAATATGATATAATTCTGAAGTGCTCATTTCAAAGTCTCACAAAATTATAGCGTCAACAGATAATGATATATATATATATATATATTTTTTTTTTTTTTTGTGTGGGTATTTCTTCCATATCGAAACCCAAGGATACTACGTACATAAATCATAATCTGCATTGGTTTTTGGTTACTATTTGAAACCTATAAATTTTATTAGGAAATTAGGATTGCATAACTGCAAGCTCTTGCAGTGCACTAGCTTTCCAAGCCGAAAAATACAAGACACAAAAAGAGGCCTAGACATTACACAAGGGTCCCACCCTTAACGTACTCAGTGAAGGCCAGAGCAACCAAGCCAAGCATTGCAAATCTACCATTCCAGAGCTCAGCGTCCGAAGTCATGACCCCACTTGACTTGGACTCCACACTCACCCCTTTGAACAATGGCACTAGAGAAGCCAACGTTAACACTATGCTTGTTCCAACAAACCATGAGATCCCACCGTTGCTTATCTGTGCAAACACGTCCTGACCCTTGGATAGCTCCACCGCCATCGCGGCAACGAATCCCACCATTGCCAGCCTTCCGTTTATCCTCTCCGGCGCTGGCCCGCTGAACGCCAAAATATCGGAAAATTTGGTGCTTACCTGCAACCAAACAAAGAACCAATATTGTACGTTAATTTCATCAAACAGTGGATAGAAAGTTATTCGACTAAAAAACATATTTTGGTAAAAATCTAAAAATTTTTAAACCCAACAAAAATAAGATCACTACCTTAGGTGTTGGACGAGAAGGGGCCGGAGTTGGCTGCGGTGGCGAGTTTGGCACCGGCGTTGGCTGCTCCTTCTGCTCACCATCCTGCAATTCAACCCTCAAATAGTTTACACCGTATCTCCTCTAGATCACTTTTCAGCTCAAGCATATATTGTTTACACTCGTCAAAATGTTTAAATCCAATACCTTAGGTATTGCATTTATAATATTTATTTGTCCTGCTGCAATAATATTGTGTGTAACAACAAGAAACTTATTTATTACGGAATAATATTACTATTTTCACAGTTATTAGTAAATAAAAAATATTACCATCCTTCAGTTTGAACCCCACACACATATAGGATAATGTTTTGCACCTTAGCATATAACAATAAGGTACATAACATAATAAATGTAATACTGATATTGAAAACATATAAGAAATTTAGTTATTCTAGATTATTGTCACAATATATATATATATATATATATATATATTTGAGTGTATATTACATATGACAAAGTTACCTGGGTCATGCAACGAACTCTCAAAGGCGTATTAATCCTGCGCAACCTAGGCAAATTTAGAGAGGGAAGAAACTGTTTATTTGCTTTTTTAATCCCGTTCGCAGCACAAACAAAAGAGCTTGTTACGACAGAATATTGCATGACAGCCGGTCCAGCCATTTTACTTTATTTTTCAAACCTCAATAAAACACTCAACAACCTTAGCAATCTCTTAAAGAAGCAGACAACAGAAGCAAGCACAAAAAACGTCGACAAAAAAGAAAGATTCTAGTAACACAACTTCGTAAAGTTTGAAATTTCTCTCGTTTGTATCGATGAGAATATTAATGATGAGGTTATATATATATATATATATATATAGTAGAGTTGGGAAAGAGTGATTGGATATTTTTTGCACCACGTCGAGTGGGTTCTTTTGTTTTGACACAGTAAGTTTTTGACTAACGTGGACCCTCAGTTTACCAGATGTGCTTATCATTGTTTGTGAGGCCAGATTTGTTTCCACTTGTGGGGTTATGTAAGGGGCAATAACTGATAGAACGTTCTAGATAAAAGCGTTTCATGTTATGAGGTTAAATTTTGTTGCGTGTAAGACTTTTAAATTTTAGAAAACTTTAGATAACGTTTTTTTTTCTATTTTTAATACGAAAATAAAAATGAGATTATTTTAAAAATTATTTTAAAATGGATTTTAAAATTGTGTTTAGTTGATTTTTTAAGAGATTATTTTGAATGTAATAAAAAAGTGATATTGTGTTTGGTTATAATTACTAATTAATATATTATAATATTATTGATAAGTACTAAGAAATAAAAAAAAAAAACTTTTAACTGTTTTCTAATTCTTTCATAAAAATTATTCTCATTATTTTTTATTTTCAAAATATTTAATAAATAAACACGGTTTGAAGACTATTTTTATTTTCGTGTCTTAAAAATTATGCAAAAACACTTTAAAAAATAAGTAAAAATCAATTTTAAACGCACTTTTTGGTTAGGAGTAGAAGTTTAAAGATGATTATGATGATTGATAGCTATATGCTTTTGAGGAGAGTTTTGTACAAGATTTTAATTTGAGAATTTTATGAGAAACATGCCTTACCGGTAGGATTCTGTTGTATATTGTCAAATGTTATAGCACCTTTACATGCTTTTACATTTTATATTTTGATGCGATTCTAATTAAATTTTATGTTTAAGAATATGTACTATTGGTAATATAGGACCCTATTGAATAATTGTATAAAAACATCCAAGATTTTATGTGCTAATTATAATTTCTACAGGGACAAAAAAAAAAGAAAAAAAATTAAATCCTCTTACATTATTCTGGAACAGGTCCGAATCTTCGTGATACATGTGGCTTTCTCTAATTAGTGTGTGATTTACGCCACATGATGAGGTTTAATTGACAAGTGGCTCATCTCATGAACAGAAAAACATGGCCACAAAACATAATTATTGTGTAATATTTTGTTACCACAAGTAGAAGTAGATTTCTCTTTACGGGATTGGATTCTGAATCATAAGAACATTTGATCAGATGGGGGTTTTCTGGTCACATAGAAATCATGACTCGTGACTCTATAGCATTCTTAATTGAAAAAATTAATTTATCTCTTTTCTTTTTTTTTTTCTTTTTCCTTTTTTTTTTCTCTCTTGGAATTCTGCTTCTCTTTAAGGAAGAGGTGGAATAGGTGAGGCACTAAAAGGGCATTTTTCTTAATTTTGGTATCAAATTCGTGTTGAACACTAATTATAAAGAGATTTTCTAGTACGTTTAGCGTATCAGTAAGTTAGATTTTTTTAATCGTTAAATCTACGTACTTTTTGACTTTTATGTGATTTTATACATATCCAACAGACAGAACACTTAAACTACCGATATGTTAGCGTACCGAAAAAAATCTCCTAATTAAATATGTATTAGTACAAAATAGGTAGTGCTTTTAGCCCTTTAGCGAGAGGAAAAAAAGTGGTAAGGCACAACTATTTGAAGCATAAATTTCTACTCATTTCCATCATGCATCAACAGGACTTGCGAGAAACAAGAAAATGAGTATTTTTAGTTCATTTCTTATATTCTTAATTTACTTCTTTAGTTGGCAACTATTTTGGTGGAGTATTAGCAAAATTCCAGGCATATTTAGACGTAGAGGAGTGCTCTCTTTCTCCAGCCACTTCATGTGTGGGCACAGCTGCACTGATTGCTTTCACATCCTCTTTTGATAGCTTCACTGCCAATGATCCAATATTGGCATCTAGATTTTCAATTTTTGTTGTCCCTGTAAATTAAACATCAACAGTGAAAAGTAACATAAAACTCTAAACCAATACATTATACTGGACAAAAATATATGTATATATATATATGAAAAGATCATGCAAAACAGTGAACTATAAGTGCAAAAGAGAGAATAGCAAATGCATTAAGGTCTCGTTTATTTCACCGATTCGAGTTTTCAATTCCAGTTTTGTTACAGTTAAAAGCTCATATAAAAGTTACATCTAACTTTTTTTTGTTACCGTTTAAAACTCTTACATAAAATCACATTTCAACTCGAATTGAAAACTCAAATCCGCGAAGGCCTAAGTACATATATTACCAGGAATAGGGAGTATATCTTCACCCTGGTGAAGAAGCCATGCAAGAGCTAATTGAGCAGGAGTGCAGGCATGCTTTGCAGCAAGGTTAGCGAGCCGCGCATATATAACTTTGTTCTTCTCTACATTTTCATCTATGAACCTTGGATGCCCACACTATACCGAAGACATTAACACATGTTTCATATATGAACTTGTACACAAGTTAGACGATCTCCAATGCAAATGGCACGATCTCCAATGCAAATGGCCGTGTCAATGCTATATCCGGTGCTGAAAATGGTATATTTGATATGTTATTCTTTATGCTGCAATCTATAGTGCCATTTCAAGTGTTCATATATACCTTTTCTTATAGTGATTGAGCATTGAAACTTGTAAAAGTGAACTTTCAATCTTAAAATAATTTGAGAGGGATAATATTATAATGATTAAATGAAAAGTAAATACAACAACCAATAGTAAGCAAATGCAAAAATTTAGAATATGTTGTACTTGGTTGCTGCATGTATCAAAATTTAACACCAAAAATAGCATTACATTAGAGAGTAATATTCTTACTAAAATGCTAAAATTTGGTACTGTATTGAAAAAAGTGCAAGTTATGTAAATACTCAATAACTTGCATTATTTTTCCATTTTCTCTACGAAATCCTAAATGGCTGCAGAAACAGAAATCTTGAACCTCTATTAGTATGTACACGTTGTCACGTACCAGTAAACTCCCAATAGGCAAGCTTTCCACAGTTGCCTTCCCACCAAAGAACCCGTGGCCGAGGGGGCTATATGCTACTGTTCCAACGCCAAATTCACTGTGAATGGAGGCAAGAATAGTTCCAAAAGATTTGTGAGTTAAAGTTCTGATTTCAATCAGGCACGAATCATGGATAAACTTTTAGCAACTAACCGGCACAATGGAATTATTTCATCTTCGATTTCTCGAGTCCATAAAGAGTATTCCATTTGCAGGGCAGTGATGGGATGAACTCTATGAGCTCATCTTATTGTGTCCACACTTGCTTCTGATAGCCGAATGTATTTGATTTTTCCTTCCTCTACCAGCTTCTTCAGCTCCCCCATCTGTCAAATACAAGCATTTCAAAGAAAACAGAAATCAAGTTTAAGTGAAGCCCCAGGAGAGACCAAAAATCTGTTTAATGTACATCCAAAAGGTCCAAAAATTTTCACAAGGTCATTATAGTATCCTCTATAGGTACCAAAGTATCCACACGATGTTGATAGTACAAGTCAATGTACTTGACATCTAGGCGCTTAAGGCTAGCTTCGCAGCATGCCCTCACATATTCAGGGGTATCCTTCACACCAAATTGAAAATCCCCGGCCATAGTAATACCAAACTTTGTTGCTAACTAGACTTTGCTTCGCGGAAGCTGCTTTAGAGCCTGAAATGTCAAGAGAAGTACCTCTCTTTGTCAATATTTTAGAATACAAATATTTTTATCGGAGCAAATATTTTATGCATAAAAAATTGTACTCTGAAAACAATGATCTTTGTTAAATTCCATGTTGAATTACATTGTTTCTGCTTAATCACAAGCTTATGCTTATGGAAAACAACTATAGTACCTTGCCAATCATGACCTCATTGTCATTTGCTCCATATATATCCGCTGTATCAAAGAAGGTTATACCCCTATTATAAGCTTCCTTTATAATATGACATCCAGCTTCATGAGACAAAGGAACGTTTTTAGAATTCCGGAGAGTCCTGCGCACCCGAAACCCAACGCAGAAACCTACAAAGTAGCCATGGGAAGAAAATCTGTTATCTTCCTTCAATGAAGGAACATGTGACGAAACCATAATGTTCAGTTTAACATGAATTTGTTGTGTGTGATTAGTTGGTTTTATACCGATTTATTAAGCTATTGCAAGTTTAATATTAGCTAGTTTTAAGATATTACATCGACAAATTGATGTCTTTTTAATCTAATTCTGCATGATGTGTATAAGCTTAAGTAATCCGTCAATCTTGAAACCCACAATTAAAAGGCCCAAATTTCAGCCCACGCCATATAAGCCCAAAATTGAGAAGCCACAAGTAATCTGTCAGCTTAGGTCCAGAAAAGCCCACAATTAAAAGCCAAAGTTTCAGCCGAGTGAAGCCCACACACGGAGGACATTATTCCCAGCCAATACGACATTGTGTTTCATTCCTCAAAGCCTCCACGGTTTTGTGCTTCCTGAGATGACACGCTGGACTTGGGGCTGCCTTGGAGAAGATAAGGAGTTGTGACTAAAGTGGAAAAAAGCCTATCTAACCGAGAGTTTGAAGATGGAAACAGGAGGAAGATCTGGGCTGAGGGAGAGAGTGGCTGGGAGAGAGAGATTTGGGGCAGAGAGAATCGATTTTAAAAGGAAATTCCAGGAACTGGAAAGGAGAGTTGTGTTTTACTGGGATATTCCAGAGGGTGTTTACTAGGATATTCTAGGGGGGTTTTTGGCTGGAATTCCAGAGGGAAACAAAGAGTTTTGGCTGGAATTCCAAAGGGAAATAAAGTTGTGTTTTACTGGGATATTCCAGAGGGTGTTTACTGGGATATTCCAGGGGGGTTTTTCGCTGGAATTTTAGAGGGAAACAGAGAGTTTTGGCTGGAATTCCAGAGGGAAATAGAGTTGTGTTTACTGGGATATTCCAGGGGGATTTTTGGCTGGATATTCCAAAGAGTTTTTGCTGGAATTCTAGAGGGAAATAGAGAGTTTTGGCTGGAATTCCAGAGGGAAACAGAGAGTTTTGGTTGGAATTCCAAAGGGAAACAAGGAGCTTTTGGAGATATTCCAGAGGAAAAAAGGAGAGAAAAGCAGAGATTAACCCAGGGCTTTTCAATTGGGATTCAGCCAGAGCTTTTGGAGATTGACCCAGAGGGATTGCTGAGAAGGAAAGGCTGATTCTTGGTGGAAAACGTTCGGCCATTAGGGAGTTACCCTTTGTTCTTCTTTTCTTCTTTCAGATTTTCTATGGTAATGTCTTCCAGACTTTTATTTGTTTTATTTAATTTAGTTACTGTTTAATACTTTTAGTTAGAGATTGATGGATCCGAACCTATGGTTTCTGAGTTTCAATTTGAATGAGTTACAATTTATTATTTTTCTGTGAAGAGTATGTTCTATTGTTCTTAGGGCTTTTCATTTATTTAATTTGGGAATTGATCATAATGATGTTTCGGATAGAGAAGTTATGTGATATGAAACATTAAATTGTGAATTGAATCTTGGATGTGAATAATAGTCAAGTAAAATATAGAACATGCCATGAGTGGACGAGGAGTAACCGAATAGGGATTCAAGAAAATTCATGTGGTCAGTTTAAATTGTAACCGAGAGGGAGATTTAACCGAAAAAGGATTTCACAAATTCTAAGGCATCTCATATTGAATTAATCTAGAATAGACTTGAAATAAGGATATTTGAAGTTAAGAATATATGTGATAGTTGATTAGACCCGAAATATGGATAATTAAACATTAGGGAATTCTACCATCTTATGGTTAATAATAATTGAAATTCATTCTTTTGAACTTATGGATGAATTTGTGTAGGAGAAATCAACTCTCTAACGTTTTCTCTCATTGAATTCTTTCTTAAATCTTGCATCGTTATAGTTTTCTAAATTTTAATCTTTATTTAGTTTTAATTCACATTACTCCCAAATTTTGCAATCTCGAATAACAAAGTCGGTTTAATTACTTTATTTGTGAATTTTATCAATCATCGTTGGGAAACGATAGCTTACTCATCATTTTATTACTTGAACGATTGGTGCACTTGCTAGTGTGAATTTTATTGCATCAAGTTTTTAGCGCCGTTACCGGAGATTGAGTTAGAAATTTACACTTAGGGGATGTTTAGTTGGAAGATTCAAACCATGATTTGAATCATGGTTCATAGTTCGCTGTAGTGTTTTCTCTCACAAAAAGTACACGTAAATCGAAAATGGTTCTAATCACATGATTCTAATCCATGAACCAAACGTCTCCTTATTGTGATTTAACCCGTTAATTTGAGAACTTTTATTCACTGTTTTTAGTTTTTTATTTTTCAATTTTTTTTCTTCTCTAGTGCATGACACGTACTAGTGGGGAGATACTTGAAGAATTTGATCCTGAAATTGAGCGAACAGCCCATCATTTGAGGAGAATGGCAGCCGCACCTGCTAATGTGATGGAGGACGATGTCAATGGAGATGAAAACAGACCAATAAGAGATTATGCCATGCCATCAATGGAAGGAGCTGAATCTAGCATAAGGAGACCGGCAATTCAAGCAAATAATTTTGAGATCAAACCGGCTATCATTCAAATGATTCAACACTCGGTACAATTTGAAGGTTTATCACAAGAAGATCCCAATGTTCACTTGGCAAATTTTTTGGAAATTTTTGATACTTTTAAGCACGATGGAGTGTCAGAAGATGCCATTCGTCTGAGGCTTTTTCCATTCTCATTGAAGGATAAATAAAAAAAGTTGGTTAATCTCTTTACCTTCAGGATCCATCATCACATGGGAGCAAATGGCAGAAAAATTTCTAGGTAAGTACTTTCCACCTGCAAAAACAGCAAAATTGCAAAACGAAATTACAATGTTTTTACAGGTAGAGAATGAATCACTCTATGAGGCACGAGAATGCTTTAAAGATGTACTGAGAAAGTGTCCTCACCATGGGCTGCCAATATGGCTTCAGGTACAAACATTTTATAATGGTTCTACTGCCATAATCCGCAATATGATTTATGCGGACAATCATGAGAAAAACACATAAACAAGCCTATGAGTTACTAGATGAAATGGCTACAAATTCTTATCAATGGCCTTCCGAGAGACTCTCTGCAAGGAGGGCTGCGGGTTTACATAGTGTAGACGCCATCACATCTTTGGCGGCACAAATGGCGGCTCTCAATAAGAAGATGGCAACTCCCAATATCAATCACATGTGATTTTTGTGGAGGCAGTCACCTGAACCATGAATGCCAAGCAGGTAACCAAATCTCATCTAGTTCACTCTCTGAGCAGGCACACTTTGTATCAAATTTTTGAAGGCAAAACAACCCGTATAACAACACCTATAATCCGGGATGGAGAAATCACCCGAACTTTGCTTGGAATCAAAATAATGTGAAGCTATTAGGAATGGTGTCCTAGAAGCATAAGATGTCAAGACAGCTTTTCTGAATGGTTAGCTTGAGGAAACCATCTATATAGATCAGCCAGAGGGTTACATAGAGGAAGGCCATGAGCAGAAAGTCTGCAAGCTGTAGAGGTTCATTTATGGATTGAAGCAGGCTTCTAGATCATGGAACATTCGATTTGATAAGGCTATTAAGTCTTATGGATTTGATCAAAACCAAGATGTTTCAAATGAAAGAAAAGAAGATGTTCATATTCTTTATAAGCCCAAATATCTAATATTTAGTGGGAGTGGTCAGTCGTTGTCAGTTGAACTCAAGATTTGATCATTGGGTAGCCGTGTAGTGCATCCTTAAGTGTATGAGGAAAATAAGAAACTATAAGATAGTTTAGTTAGTGAAAGAGTTGTCTTTCACGGGATACATAGACTTTGACTATGAGTTATGACAAGAAAGGTTGTTGACAAAGTGTGATTGCTAATTCTATCATTAAGAGTTAATGTGTAGCAGCTTGTGAAGCAGCAAAAGAAAGCAACCTGACTCTAAAAATTCTTAACTGATATGGAAGTTGTTCCACATATAGATCAGTCATAGATACCTAGAAAGTTTCAGGATTTGAGAGATATTCTACCTGCTTTAGGACAAGTGGGAGATTGTTGGGAATGGTATTCTAGAAGCATAAGATGTAATAGGATATTTATTATTTATTTAATAAAAGAGTTTATTCATCATTTTATGTGTATATATTTGTGAATATTTTATTAATATCAATGAAAATTTCGTGATTATTTATGTAACCTAAAACATTGTATATAAGTGTTATATATGAGAGGTTAATGTTTAAGGATAATAATAAAAAAATAATGTTCATAATGAATTTAATTAAAGTTATTACACGAGATGGAATCCATTCCTCCTTAAGAAAGAAGTAGATTCTCTTGAGGGTTGATTCGGTACTTGGACCAGTAGGAGTTCCGATTCATGAATGTGTTTTATGAATCACTGTCCATTAGAGAATCAATGGTACTTAAGGATAAAGATTTAATTAGAGATGTCAACGGATTTTACCTAGCTCTAATTATGAATTATTTATGGAGGATTGATTTATATGCAATGACTATATCAAATGGACACTTCACAGTTTAGAAGTAATTTATGTCTATAATTTCGAGAGTGTAATTCCAAGTTTATAGTGGAGTAACTATTGAAATTAATAGAATTAATTAATTAATTAAAGTGTTTAATTGATTATTAATTTTATTGGAGTTCGGGATTATAGGTCTATTAGTCCTCGTTTCGTCCTAGTAATTCTACCAGACACAAAGGACATAATGGAAATTTTAGAATTACAGAATTCTAAGATTAAACGCTCAAAAATAATTAATGAAGAATTAATTATTATTTAAATAATGTGATTATTTAAATTTGAATTTGAATACATCTAGATTTATCTATTTAAATTTATCTAATAAGTTGTTAAATTTAGAATTCAAATTAATTTAAGTTTGACTTAAATTGGAATTTGAATTTGAGTCAAAATTAGACTACAGGATAAAAGATAATTTTTCTCTTCCTTCCTTATCTGATATTGGCGCTTACGGATAAAATCCCCTTAGGTTTGGCCGGCCATAAGAAGGATAGAGGGGAGAATTTTTGTTTCAAATTCAAATAGGAGATAATTAACAAGCTTTATCTTGGAGATAGAGATTGGATTCTTTTTTTAGAAGTTTGACTTCTACTCTATAAATAAGATAATAGTAGAAAATTATGGATACAATTTTTGAGACAATTTTTGAAATGAATTTTTGCCCTAATTTTAGAGGTGGCCGAAATTTCTCTATAGAGTGAGAGGAAAAAGTTTTCTCCAAAAAATTCCACATCGTGCATGCGTTGGTGTTTGTAGAAATTTGAGTGTTTATTGTAACCCATTTTGTCTCATGTGTGCCCACACACACATCTTCGTGGATTCTAGAAATTGACGTGGAAGACATTGGTTTTCTAAACACAAAGCTTTGGCCCCACCCACGCTTCCATATCCGAATTCGATTCAGTGACCAACAGAAGCAACCACCTCCCGGATTCCCACGTCAAGAGAAGAAATCAAATTTGGAGGATATGATGGCTAAGTTCTTGAGCACGGCTGAAACAAGATTTCAAAATCAAGAAGCCTCAATTCAGAATCTAGAAGTTCAAATAGGGCAACTTGGAAACCTGGTTTCAGGGCGTACACAAGGCTCCCTCCTGAGCAACACCGAAAATAACCCCAAGGAGCAAGTTAAGGCCATAGCATTGAGAAGTGGGAAACAATTGGTTGAGCCAAATACAAAGGTGGCCAAGTCCAACATACAAGAGGACTCAACCCTCAATGAAGAGAAGAAAGCAACAACCACTCAAGAGGAAAGGTTGAATTTGAATAAGAAAGCTAAGGGAAAAAGGGTGGTAAATTCTGACTTAACAGCTGAAAAATACATGCCTCCTCTTCCATACCCACAAAGGCTCAAGCAAGACAAGCTAGATAAGCAATTTTCTAAGTTTTTAGAAATTTTTAAAAAATTACAAATTAACATTCCTTTTGGTGAAGCTTTGTCACAGATGCCCAACTATGCTAAATTCTTGAAGGAAATCTTGTCCAACAAAAGAAAGTTGGAAGAACATGGAACAGTCATATTGACAGAAGAATGCAGTGCCATTCTACAAAATAAGTTGCCTCTTAAATTAAAAGATCCAGGGAGTTTTACTATTCCAATATGTTCAACTTAGGTACACTAAATGGCCTTTCTGATGATACGGTAATTAGCAAGACCGTGTATTTACGGGGTTTTCCCCCCCTAAAATACTTAATATTAATCCATTTGAATTCCATTAGATGCTTAATTGTGTCTACTAAGCTAGTTTTTTTCTATTGGCAGTCAACGGAGATGCATATATATACAGATTTTCTGAGACTTGTCCTTGAAATACTAAATGCAATTCTTACTTATGCTTTGCCGCGAAATCCTGAGGTACCATCATATGGTTTAGTTTTCTTATGAGATTCTCATAAATGTATTCACGTTATCACCTTTTATCTTTTCTGAGGAGCTCTACTTTTTGCAATTTGCAGGTTGTATACGCAATAATGCACAGGCAGGAAGTTTTCCAGCCTTTTAAAAGCCATCCACGGTTCACTGAGCTCCTGGAAAACATCTACACCGTATGTATCGGATTATTTTATTACAAAATTGTTGTTTACTCTCTCCCATTGTAAATCGGAGCATAAGAAAAATCTCTGTTAAGATAGAAAGTCTTTAATTTTTTCAATTGGAAGGTCTCAGGCTAAATTTCTTAGTGCAGTTTGAAATAAAGTAATTCAATTGTCTGTAGGTATTGGATTTTTTCAATAGTCGCATGGATGCGCAGAGGGTGGATGGAGAATGGTCAGTAGAGAAAGTCCTCCAAGTAATAATTGTTAACTGTCGATCTTGGCGGAGTGAAGGGATGAAGGTAAGAGAAGGATTGCATACTATTCAGTCTGGTCTTTTAGCATGCTTTTCTAGATTTATTTATTTTTTATTATTTATTTATTTATTTATTTGTTATAAGAATCTTGACAATCCCTTGTGTTCATATGTTTACTCAATTACGCTTCACATATGAACAAGAGAGTCATCCAGAGGAATTCTTTATCCCATACGTGTGGCAGTTAATTTTATCCCGTGGGTATGTTTTCTGCACCTTTCTCCATCCAGAAAAAGAATGAAGATGGAGGGATTCTTAGTGAAAATTCTCTCTTCATGTTGCAATTGGAAATATATTATGTTCATATTTTTCTTGGATGCATAGCGGCCACCAAAAGAAACACACTTCTCCCACTTCCTGGTGATTCGTGAATATGTAAATACATGAAATATTAGAAATATATATATATATATATTCTTGTCATTATTTTCTGTTTATATATGTTTGTTCCACTGTAGAGGCCTTTCTCCCAAAGATATATTTTGAATGTCCAATGTAATGAATAAGAGACGAAATTTTATTCTCAAATTCGATTATCACAGTATAAGTTTTTCAAGAGAATTCAAATTTTGCCTCTTTTAATTTTTGGTTTGTGTCTGTTGTTACTGCCATATTTAGTACTGCCAAAGTTTTTTACCCTCTTTTGGATAATTGCTTACAGAATTTCTTGAAAAGGCGTAATGAACTTCATGCTTAGACTATAGTTTGTTTAGAACTAAAAAGGAACTCTTTTTTTGAGCCCGTTTGCTATATGGATTCAAACGAATGACTTTTGATTAATAAAACACATACTTAGTAGACTTCATACCAAACATACCAAACGTACTTCATGGTATATTTGTTAAGCGGAAAAAAAAAAAAAAAAAAAACTACACGTGGGAGGTTGGAAAACTTCCAGGTGTGTGGAGAATGAGTAAAATGTGTTAGTGAGGAGTTGGATAAAAAATAAGGTAGAGATAATCTCTCAAAAAAAAATAATTAATCTTATTTAAATAATAAAAAAATGACGTGGGTTGCTTCAAAAATGCCTACATATAGGCATACAGGAAACGTGAAAAAAAAAAAAGGAAAAAAGGAGGACTTGGTGCGTGTGTGTGCAGAAGGGGGAGAGAAAAAAAAACAAAAAAAAGAAAAAAAAGCTTGTGTGGGTGCAACGTGTGTGCAGAAGAGAAGTGAGAGAAAGGAACGAAAAAGAAAAAATAAAAGTGTGTGTGCAGGTGAGGGGACGTAACAAAAAAAAAAAAAAAAAAGGACTTTGTGCAAGTGAACGTGTGTAGAGAGAATTATCAAAAAAAAAAAAAAAAAGGTAGAAAATTTGTCATTTACTCATCTATATTTTGTCTACCCGTTTCTCAAGACAAGAAGCTCATCTGTCATTGTTAGCTAGATTTATGTTTTAAACATACAGGTTGTAAATTTTTGAATTCAGTCAAAAATTATGAGATTGTAAGTTTTAGAATCTCTAAAAAATCAAATAGAATTGTAAGTTTTAGAACTCTACAAAATTATGAGGTTGCAAGTTTTAGAATCTCTAAAAAATCAAATAAATGTTGCAAATTTTAGAACTCTACAAAATTATGAGGGCTTCGTTCATTTCACCGATTTGAGTTTTTAATTTTAGGTTTCTACAGTAAAAAGCTCTCAGAAAATGTCACATCTAACTATTTCTGCTACAGTAAAAAGCTCTTAGAAAATGTCACATCTCAGCTCGAATTGAAAACTCGAATCCGCGAAGTGAACGAGGCCGAGGTTGTAAAATTTAGAGCCTCTAAAAATCAAATAGAGTTGCAAATTTTAGAACTCTATAGAATTATGGAGTTGCAAAATTTAGAACCTCTAAAAATCAAAGAGTTGCAAATTTTAAACTCTACAGAATTATGGGGTTACAAAATTTAGAACCTCCAAAAATCAAATAGAGTTGCAAATTTTTAGAACTCTACAAAATTGTAGGGTTGCAAAATTTAGAACTTTTATATACACATGAATCTGACTATAATAGTGCAGTTCAAAATATTATAACAATTTTGAGTCTGACTTATAAAGTGCAACCCGAAGCAAAAATTAGGGACCACTTACGTAAGGGCCTCTTCGTTTCCTGTAAAGTCAGCGAATTGAAACAAAAAAATCAGTCAAGGAACTGAAACAAAAAATAACGGAAAGGTTAAATAAAAAAAATGTTACCTTCAGCAACGTGTAGAAGACTATCCGTCTTTTGTTCCTGTTTGGCTGAAAAGCAACCAGTTTCTTTGAATTGAAAAATGGCTTTGCAAATAAAATTGTCAAAGAAATTGATGATTCGGCAAAAAAGGAGAGCAGGCTGATTACTGATAGCTCTGCACGCGGATCAAAATATAATGGCAATTAACGTTCTTCTTCATTCACGCCCGCTTCCATAGAACAATATCGTGGCAACGTAGACCTAAGTGGTCATATTGGATCCTTGGGAACCATCACAAGTACGACCGGCCTAAAGTCTAGCTGCCTATTCGATTCCTTACTTAAGTGTTGTCCCAGACTTGCTAAGACTAGCAGCGCTTACTCGAACAGCGGTTATTCCGTTCTCAGCTGATTCAATACAGTTGATTCTCTAACAACCGATTCTGTAAGAGCTGAAAAAATTAGTAGAATGTGAGAAACAAAGCTAGAGCTGAGCTTTAAGCGCGAGAGGAGGGAAGGGCTCTCCCTATATATATATATATATATATATAAAAGCTACTTTATCGGTCCCTCTCGTCTGGTTGGCATATATATATATATCAAAAAGTTGCTAATTTACCTCCGGATGATGTGATGTTACGTTTGCAATAGCTCGTGTGTGTATATATATATGAAGAGGGGAAGCGTGTATAACAGATGAGATGGGAAAATTCAAGTTTCCTGAGCACGAAAAAAGGGATATATCAATCAGTTTAGACGAGATTTAAAATTAAGAAAAAAGGGATAAAAGATAAATTTTGAAATACATTTAGAATATTAAATACCTAAAAATTTGAAATGCACAAATTGGGTCATTCTATGGTCCCTAAGCCCAAAATGATGAGTCTATTGTCTCATAAAATCATATGGTGATTAAATACAATTTTCAAATCCTAAATTAAAATAAAAAAAAATCTCAACACCAAATTCAGAAAGGATCATTTTAATTCTTCATAAGGTCATATACCGGAGAATTATCCAAATATGACTATCAAATCCAAACTCTAAAGTAAAATTCTAAATCGAATTTTAAAATATCTTTGAATTCCTCATATGGTCATATATCGAGAAATTCTCTAAAATCCAAATTTCAAATCAAGAACTACGATTGACTTGATTCCCTATGGGATACGTAGGCAACCTAAAAATTTAGGTGCAGTTTCAAGATCAAATTCGATCTTGAATTCCTCCTATGGTCATATACCGGGGAATTGTTCAAAATCCAAATTCAAATTCAAGAACTACGATTGACTTGATTTCCTATGGGATACGTAGGCAACTAAAAATTTAGGTGCAGTTTCAAGACCAAATTCAATCTTAAAAAAAAATCCTCATAAAGGACAAAGTCAAAACAAAACTAAATTAAATTTTAAAGTGCGTAAATTCCTCATAAGGTCATACACCGAGGAATTATCCAAATTCGCAAACCCAAAATTCGAACTACAAGTGACTTGATCCCTTAACGGGGTATGTAGGCAACTCGACAAAATTCACTGAGTTCAGCCGCAATTTTAAATCAACCCAAATTTCCCAAATTCACAAAAAATAGTATTTACCGTTTTAATTGGAATCAAAAGGTTTTCCCTTGTACCATGAGATTGTAATTAAGAGGTTATTTTTATAATCTTGAATGGGTCGAACTAAAAAATAATAAACTCCTATTCTAGTTAAATCCTATGATAGATGAAATTATGTTGTATGTGAAATATTATTTCAACATTATTAAATATTTTCACTCAACAATATCTATTCAAATTTCCTTGTATGTTGCTCCTAGAGAGAAAATATCCATGAAGATTATCTTCATCCCCACACTATAGATGTACCATGCTATCTTATGGAAGGGTATAATCCTACTGTAAAGGCAGACCGAACCGTCAAATTCCATTAAATTATTTCATTTTTTTCCTTTTTAATATGATATAATTCTGAAATGCTCAAAGTTTCACTAAATTATAGCGTCTACAGATAATGATATATATATTTTTTTGTGTGGGTATTTCTTCCATATCCAAACCCAAGGATACTACGTACATAAATCAGAATCGGCATTGGTTTTTGGTTACTATTTGAAACGTATAAATTTTATTGCCAACTTTAGGAAATTAGGATTACATAACTACAAGCTCTTGCAGTGCACTAGCTTTCCAAGCCGAGAAATACAAGACACAAAAAGAGGCCTAGACATTACACAAGGGTCCCACCCTTAACGTACTCAGTGAAGGCCAGAGCAACCAAGCCAAGCATTGCAAATCTACCATTCCAGAGCTCAGCGTCCGAAGTCATGACCCCACTTGACTTGGACTCCACACTCACCCCTTTGAACAATGGCACTAGAGAAGCCAACGTTAACACTAGGCTTGTTCCAACAAACCATGAGATCCCACCGTTGCTTATCTGTGCAAACACGTCCTGACCCTTGGATAGTTCCACCGCCATCGCGGCTACGAATCCGACCATTGCCAGCCTTCCGTTGATCCTCTCCGGCGCTGGCCCGCTGAACGCCAAAACATCGGAAAATTTGGTGCTTACCTGCAACCAAACGAAGAACCAATATTGTACGTTAATTTCATCAAACAGTGGATAGAAAGTTATTCGACTAAAAAAGATATTAGGGTAAAAATCTAAAAAATTTAAACCCAACAAAAATAAGATCACTACCTTAGGTGTTGGAGGAGAAGGGGGCAGAGTTGGCTGCGGTGGCGAGTTTCGCACCGGCGTTGGCTGCTTCTTCTGCTCACGATCCTGCAATTCAACCCTCAAATAGTTTACATCGTATCTCCTCTAGATCACTTTTCAGCTCAAGCATATATTGTTTACACACGTCAAAATGTTTAAATCCAATTCGTAAAAGACGGTGACTTGAAGAAATAGAAGGTGTAATATAATATTTATTTGTCCTTCTGCAATAATATTGTGTGTAACAACAAGAAACTTATTTATTACAGAATAATATTACTATTTTCACAGTTATTAGTAAATAAAAAATATTACCATCCTTCAGTTTGAACCCCACACATATAGGATAATGTTTTGCACCTTAGCATATAACAATAAGGTACATACCATAATAAATGTAATACTGATATTGAAAACATATAAGAAATTTAGTCATTCTAGATTATTGTCACAATATATATATATATATATATATATTTGTGTATATAACATATGACAAACTTACCTTGGTCATGCAACGAACTCTCAAAGGCGTATTAATCCTGCGCAACCTAGGCAAATTTAGAGAGGGAAGAAGCTGTTTATTTGCTTTTTTAATCCCGTTCGCAGCACAAACAAAACAGCTTGTTACGACAGAATATTGCATGACAGCCGATCCAGCCATTTTACTTTATTTTTCAAACCTCAATAAAATACTCAACAACCTTATCAATCTCTTAAAGAAGCAGACAACAGAAACAAGCACAAAAAACGTCGACAAAAAAGAGAGATTCTAGTAACACAACTTCGTAAAGTTTGAAATTTCCCTCGTTTGTATCGATGAGTATTAATGAGGTGGTTATATATATATATATATATATATATATATATAGTAGAGTTAAGAAGGAAAGTGATATGATATTTTTTGCACCACGTCGAGTGGGTTCTTTTGTTTTGACATAGTAAGTTTTTGACTAACGTGGACCCTCAGTTTACCAGATGTGATTATCATTGTTTGTGAGGCCAGATTTGTTTCCACTTGTGGGGTTATGTAAGGGGCAATAACTGATAGAACGTTCTAGATAAAAGGGTTACATGTTATGAGGTTAAATTTTGTTGCGTGCAAGACTTTTTAGGTTTTAGAAAACTTTGACCCGTTTGATAACGTTTTTAAAATAATTTTATTTTTAATATAAAAGTAAAATTAAGATTGTTTTAAAAATTATTTTAAGATCGATTTTAAAATTATTCTTAGTTGGTTTTTTAAAAGATTGTTTTGAATGTAATAAAAAAGTGAAATGTTTTAATTATTAATTAATATATTATAATATTATTGATATGTATTAGGAAATGAAAATAGAAGAGGAAAAATAATTTTTAACTATATATTTTCTAATTCTTTCATAAAAATCATTCTCACTGTTTTTTATTTTTATTTTTATTTTCAAAACATTAGCTAAATAAACACGGTTTGAAGACCGTTTTTATTTTCGTGTTTCAAAAATTGTACAAAAATATTTTTAAAAATAAGTAAAAATCAATTCTAAACGCACCCTTTTGATTAGGAGTAGAAGTTTGGAGATGATTATGATGATTGATAGCTATAAGCTTTTGAGGAGTGTTTTGTACCAGATTTTAATTTGGAGAATTTTATGAGAAAAATGCCTTACCGGTAGGATTCTGTTGTATATTGTCAAATGTTATAGCAGCTTTACATACTTTTACATTTTATATTTTGATGCGATTCTAATTAAATTTTATGTTTAAGAACATGCACTATTGGTAATATAGGACCCTATTGTATAATTGTATAAAAACCTCCAAGATTTTATGCGCTAATAATAATTTCTACAGGGACAAAAAAAAAAAAAAAATCCTCTTACATTATTCTGGAACAGGTCCGAATCTTCGAGATACATGTGGCTTTCTCTAATTAGTGTGTGATTTACGCCACACGATTAGGTTTAATAGGCAAGTGGCTCATCTCATGAACAGAAAAACATGGTCACAAAACATAATTGTGTAATATTTGTTACCACAAGTAGAAGTAGATTTCTCTTTACGGGATTGGATTCTGAATCATAGGAACATTTGATCAGATGGGGGTTTTCTGGTCACATAGAAATCATGACTCGTGACTCTATAGCATTCTTAATTGAAAAAATTGATTTATCTCTTTGCTTTTTTTTTTTTTCTTTTTTTTTTCTCTCTTGGAATTCTGCTTCTCTTTAAGGAAGAGGTGAGGCACTAAAAGGGCATTTTTCTTATTTTTGGTATCAAATTCGTGTTGAACACTAATTATAAGGAGATTTTTTGGTATGTCTAGCGTATCGGTAAGTTATGTTTTTTTAATCGTTAAATCTACGTACCTTTTAACTTTTACGTGATTTTATACAAATTTGACAAACAGAACACTTAGCCTGATTTGTTAGCGTACCAGAGAAAATCTCCTAATTAAATATGTAATAGTACAAAATAGGTAGTGCTTTTAGCCCTTTAGCGAGAGAAAAAAAAAAGTGGTAAGGCACAACTATTTGAAGCATAAATTTCTGCTCATTTCCATCATGCATCAACAGGACTTGCGAGAAACAAGAAAAATGAGTATTTTTAGTTCATTTCTTATATTCTTAATTTACTTCTTTAGTTGGCAACTATTTTGGTGGAGTATTAGCAAAATTCCAGGCATATGTAGACGTAGAGGAGTGCTCTCTTTCCCCAGCCACTTCATGTGTGGGCACTGCTGCACTGATTGCTTTTACATCCTCTTTTGATAGCTTCACTGCCAATGATCCAATATTGGCATCTAGATTTTCAATTTTTGTTGTCCCTGTAAATTAAACATCAAACAGTGAAAAGTAACATAAAACTCTAAACCAATACATTATATTGGACAAATATATGTGTATATATATATATATATATATATATGAAAAGATCATGCAAAACAGTGAACTATAAGTGCAAAAGAGAGAATAACAAATGCATTAAGGCCTCGTTTATTTCACCGATTCGAGTTTTCAATTCCAGTTTTGTTACAGTTAAAAGCTCATGCAAAAGTTACATCTAACTTTTATTTTTGTTACAGTGAAAAACTCACATAAAATTACATCTCAACTTAAATTAAAAACTCGAATCCTTGAATTGAACGAGGCTTAAGTACGTATATTACCAGGAATAGGGACTATATCTTCACCCTGGTGGAGAAGCCATGCAAGAGCTAATTGAGCAGGAGTGCAGGCATGCTTTGCAGCTAGGTTAGCGAGCCGCGCATATATAACTTTGTTCTTCTCTACATTTTCATCTATGAACCTTGGATGCCCACACTATACCAAAGACATTAACACATGTTTCATATATGAACTTGTACACAAGTTAGACCATCTCCAATGCAAATGGCACGATCTCCAATGCAAATGGCCGTGTCAATGCTATATCCGGTGCTGAAAATGGTATATTTGATATGTTATTCTTTATGCTGCAATCTATAGTGCCATTTCAAGTGTTCATATATACCTTTTCTTATAGTGATTGAGCATTGAAACTTGTAAAAGTGAACTTTCAATCTTAAAATAATTTGAGAGGGATAATATTATAATGATTAAATGAAAAGTAAATACAACAACCAATAGTAAGCAAATGCAAAAATTTAGAATATGTTGTACTTGGTTGCTGCATGTATCAAAATTTAACACCAAAAATAGCATTACATTAGAGAGTAATATTCTTACTAAAATGCTAAAATTTGGTACTGTATTGAAAAAAGTGCAAGTTATGTAAATACTCAATAACTTGCATTATTTTTCCATTTTCTCTACGAAATCCTAAATGGCTGCAGAAACAGAAATCTTGAACCTCTATTAGTATGTACACGTTGTCACGTACCAGTAAACTCCCAATAGGCAAGCTTTCCACAGTTGCCTTCCCACCAAAGAACCCGTGGCCGAGGGGGCTATATGCTACTGTTCCAACGCCAAATTCACTGTGAATGGAGGCAAGAATAGTTCCAAAAGATTTGTGAGTTAAAGTTCTGATTTCAATCAGGCACGAATCATGGATAAACTTTTAGCAACTAACCGGCACAATGGAATTATTTCATCTTCGATTTCTCGAGTCCATAAAGAGTATTCCATTTGCAGGGCAGTGATGGGATGAACTCTATGAGCTCATCTTATTGTGTCCACACTTGCTTCTGATAGCCGAATGTATTTGATTTTTCCTTCCTCTACCAGCTTCTTCAGCTCCCCCATCTGTCAAATACAAGCATTTCAAAGAAAACAGAAATCAAGTTTAAGTGAAGCCCCAGGAGAGACCAAAAATCTGTTTAATGTACATCCAAAAGGTCCAAAAATTTTCACAAGGTCATTATAGTATCCTCTATAGGTACCAAAGTATCCACACGATGTTGATAGTACAAGTCAATGTACTTGACATCTAGGCGCTTAAGGCTAGCTTCGCAGCATGCCCTCACATATTCAGGGGTATCCTTCACACCAAATTGAAAATCCCCGGCCATAGTAATACCAAACTTTGTTGCTAACTAGACTTTGCTTCGCGGAAGCTGCTTTAGAGCCTGAAATGTCAAGAGAAGTACCTCTCTTTGTCAATATTTTAGAATACAAATATTTTTATCGGAGCAAATATTTTATGCATAAAAAATTGTACTCTGAAAACAATGATCTTTGTTAAATTCCATGTTGAATTACATTGTTTCTGCTTAATCACAAGCTTATGCTTATGGAAAACAACTATAGTACCTTGCCAATCATGACCTCATTGTCATTTGCCCCATATATATCCGCTGTATCAAAGAAGGTTATACCCCTATTATAAGCTTCCTTTATAATATGACATCCAGCTTCATGAGACAAAGGAACGTTTTTAGAATTCCGGAGAGTCCTGCGCACCCGAAACCCAACGCAGAAACCTACAAAGTAGCCATGGGAAGAAAATCTGTTATCTTCCTTCAATGAAGGAACATGTGACGAAACCATAATGTTCAGTTTAACATGAATTTATTGTGTGCAATGTTCTGCTTATTATGTCATATTGCCTTGCAAATATCATATGCGGAAGAAACACTAAAGACCTTCACTGAATCTCATAAGGCAATGCTTGTACCAAAAATTTTAAAGGAAGCATGAAAATGAAGTAAATGTTGTATTGTGCAGCCCAATTTCAATTTGTTGAATGATGAGAAGAAAATTGTCTGAGCCGTTGAATTTTATTTCAGATTTTAGCTGGACAACTTTTTTAGATATGGTTGCAATCGTTTCTTTCCATCATCTAGAAGCTAAGAATTTTTAATAACAAAAAAAAAGAAAAAAAGAAAATCTAGGAGTTAGGCTTAATTTTAGTAGTGCTGTAAATTTTAGAAAAATTACTTTTAACTGTGCTGAAGGAAGAAGCAGCTGTTACAAAAAGTAATTGAGTGTTTGGTAAACTACAATTATAGTAGCTGTAATAGTTCCAAAATCAATGTAATAGCGTTTGGTAAATCATGAGGTTGAATTACTGTGGATAGTTAATAATTACGACTATATTATATTATATTATAATATAATATAATATATATAATTACAATATAATATATATTTATTGTTATATTTAATATAATACAAAAAAACTATTATTACATAATTATGATATAGAATATAATAATTTTATTAAAATAATAACTGAAATAATTAAAAATAATGATTATATTATATTATAATTACAATATAATGCATATTTATTATTATATTAAATATAATACAATAAAACTATTATTAAATAACATATTATATAACTATGATATAGAATATAATAATATTATTAAAATGGTTAATATAATTATAAT